GAGCGGAGGCAGGGGAGGGCTGCTGGGGCACGATGTCGAGCCCGTGCGGCCCGGGGCACGCCCGTCAGTGCCAAGGGCGCCGGCCCAGCATTCCATGGGTTGGGCTGCCATCTTGTTCCCGGCCTATTTCATCTCTCCCTGGGCGACAGGATTAACTTTGTCGATGTTCTCATCATATTGCCCTCTAACGGGTTTTATTTTGGTTTGGTTTGTTTTTTTAAAGTGTATTTATTTATTTTGAGATGGGGGAGGGGCAGAGAGGGAGACAGAATCCCAAGCAGGCTCCGTGCTGTCAGCACAGGGCCCAACGTGGGGCTCGATCTCATGAACTGCGGGAAGTCAGACGCTTAACCAACTGAGCCACCCAGGCCCCCCTAATGGATTTTACTTGTTATCTTTTTATTAAAAAACACATTTTTTAAAATGTTTATTTTTTTGCGACACAGAGAGATACAGCGTGAGCAGGGGAGGAACAGAGAGAGAGGGACGCAGAATCTGAAGCAGCTCCAGGCTCTGAGCTGTCAGCACAGAGCCTGACGCAGGACTCGAACCCACAAACCATGAGATCATGACCCGAGCTGAAGTCGGACGCTTAACCGACTGAGCCTCCCAGGCGCCCCTAATGGATTTTACTTTTTAAATTGAGTCTCTATCCCAGAGTAGCATAGCCTGGTGCTGCCGTAAAGAGTATTTACAGAGGTGAGTGTAGAGAGCAGAGTTGGGAGCTCTGAGTGATTGATTAGCGAAGGGGCTTTACGTCCACTTCATTCTGGAGCTCTTTCCTCAGGATGCTGGAATGCGTGATCACAGACAGATCAGTGACCTCAGCCCTTCTGAGGCGTTTTCAGGGCTGTGTTCCTGGTTCTTGTGGGGACAGAAGTAATTACATTATTTCCAGTTCTCTAGAGTGTTCTGGGAGGAGAAGGCGCTGAGGCAGCGGTACAGAAAGCTTAATTGGAAAGGAACGTGGAAAGAGTGCCCTGAGATGTGACGCCATCATAGGCCTCTCTCTGGCAAGCGTCAGCAAAACGCAGGCGTGCCCCGGCCTGGGACTCTTCGGCCCCGAGTCTACCCAAAGGAATACCGTTTCAAGATAAGAACCTATTTGTGGAGGGGTGTGACCATCCGAGCCTGTGGTCTGGAGCTGGAGAGAGCACAAGAGAGTGAATGAAGCGCCCCCACCCTCCATCTGTTCTGTCCGGACAATTTACAGGGATGTGTGCTTGCCCTCCCGTTCCCGTGATGCATCCCTCCCGGCCTTCTCTCTTGGTCTGTGGGAGGGGCCACGCCTACCCCGTTGGGCCCGTCACCCCATGGAGTCCATCCTCCATGATGCTCTCTTCTGTAGAGAGGAACGGGGTTTATTTGGAACACACAGTTTGGTTTTTGTTGGCACGATTTTGAAATGGTTTATGTAATCAAGTTGTCTGCGTGCTTTGGCAGAAAGGTCTCCAGCGTCAAGCAGGTGGGCTGGTGGCTGTCTGGGTTCAGGGGGCCCTTCCTGTGCTCCCAGATCAGGGCTCGTGGGAGCCTGCCCTGGGGCTGCAGGGCAGGTCTGTTCTCGGGGAAGTGCTTGGGCCCACCGCAGATACTAGATCTTGTTTCTACCGAACTTAAAAAAAAATGTTTAATGTTTATTTATTTTTGAGAGAGAGACAGAGCACAAGCAGAGGAGGGGCAGAGAGAGAGAGAGAGAGAGGGAGACACAGAATCCCAAACAGGCTCCAGGCTCTGAGCTGTCAGCACAGAGCCGGATGCGGGGCTCGAACCCACGAACCGTGAGATCGTGACCTGAGCCGAAGTCGGACGCTTAACCGACTGAGCGCCCCAGGGGCCCCTATTTTCTATCTCACTTTAAAAGTCCAGGATCAATATCAGACTACCTGAGTGGGAAGCCTGAGGGCTCAGGATCAAATAGCTGTGTTTAAACAGCTCTGTGTAATTGGGGTGCTCTGAGGAGCTAACCTGAAAACCCCCGAAGGGATCCTCATACACACGGGCGTGTTTGGGGGTGGGGAGACTCTGAGTTAACAGCGGGGTCTCTGCCTGTTTGTCCTTATTGAGGCAGAGGTCAACCCTGGACATTCTGGCCACCGGCGAAGGCTGACTCGCTGGAAGAACGTTGTATCAGGTGGTCCTGCCTTCTGGCGAAGGCCGGCCGCCCGCCGTTCACCGGGCTTGAGAGACTCTAATCTCCATTGCGGATAACACCTTAATGCACTAAAAGAAGATTACTTATTTTGAAAGCCTTTCCATTTTGTTCTTGTCCATTTGACAAATGGGGCATTATTATCCCCAGGGTGGCAGGGGGCGGAGGCTGGCCGGGACAAGGATTTGGCCCTCATCATTGTCCCTCCAGCTGGGCTCACAGCCACAGCGCCAGTAGCGTTTTGTTTGGCCACGCGGAAATGTTGAGGCGGGCTCAGACTGTTGATTTAGTTAGCTTCTCCAGCTGAGTGTTGGAGGGAGACCTCTCTGTGTGACGGGTTTTATTTAGGGGGTCGGGACCCGTAGGTCTGGGAAGACTCTGCAGTTGGTCGGAGTCCATAGTATTGCACTTACTTTCTTGACGTGACTAGAATACTGATTATGACCACGGGAGCCTTGCATTTGAGAAGTTTAAAGCCTTTTTAAATCTAAATCTGCTTGTTGATTTATTTGTTCTTTTTTAATTTTTTTTTTTTTAATTTTTGAGAGAGAATGAGAAACAGAATGTGAGTGAGGGAGAGGCAGAGACGGAGACACAGAATCTGAGACTCCAGGCTCTGAGCTGTCAGCACAGATCCCGACATGGGGCTCGAACCCATGAACCATGAGATCATGTCCTGAGTCGAAGTTGGATGCTTAACTGACTGAGCCCCCCAGGAGCTCCTAAATTTTTTTTTTAATTTTAGACAATCTCTACATCCAATGTGGGGCCTGAACTCACAACACTGAGATCAAGAGTCCCATCCTCCACCAACTGAGCCACCCGGGCGCCCCTGATTTCTTTGTCCTTAATCAAGTGCTCAGGCCATCTATGTATCAAGGAAGAGAGTAGTGGGAAGCTTTCTGAAGAACTGGACACAAAGGAAAACCAACTCGTTCTTGCTCAAGAGCACTAGTGAAGCCTTAGGGTTTTCTGTTGTTGTTGTTGTTTGTGTTTGTTTTTTAAATGTTTATTTATTTTTGAAAAGAGAGGGAGGGAGAGGGGGAGAGAGCCAGGGGAAGGGCAGAGAGAGAGGAGGAGAGAGGATCTGAAGCAGCACAGACCCTGACATGGGGCTGGAACTCACAAACCTCAAGACCATGACCTGAGCTGAAGGTCAACCGACTGAGCCTCCCTGGCATCCCGGAGCCGTGGGGTTTTATTGGTAAAATTCTAGTTAGCTTAGTAGAGAAGTCCCCAAAGACATAACAGAGGCAGGCACCCTGTGGTGTTTTGCCCAAAGCCGTATAGAGGCCCAGGCTGTTGTGACCAAGGACAGCGAATGCTCTCCGTGTCATGTCATTTGTGCACGTAACTCCTCTGGCACGAAACTATGTTCCTCCAGAAAGGATTGTTTACAGAGCATTTATTTTTAAAATGAATAGACGACATTTCTTACACAAACATTTTTTTGTTCCAACCTTTTGTGAACTCGGGAGAGGCAATGACAGGCTGAAGGTACGTAAACTCATCCGCATAGACCTGGCTTCTGAGGGCGACTTGCCCAGAATGGGTGCAGTCGGTCGGTGCAGTGTCTCCTGGTGCCGAGAACAGGCAGGGCTTTCTTTTGTCATCCTGTGCCATCGAGGCCTTCCATGGCGGACGTTGGAAACGGACCCCTGCCGGGGGGCGGGGTAGAATCGCGCTGGGTCTTTGCGGGAGGGGCTCTGGACTCAGGGCCCCTGGGTTGGGAAGGAAGGAAGGAGTTAGCTGCGGATGAGAAAGAGGAAGGGGGCAGAAGTCCCAGCCTGAACCTTGTGAAATAGCCGGCCTGACAAAGCAACTGTTTTGATGATCTTTCCACTTGGTTTATTTTAAATTCTGACAAATCCACCAGAGAATTAAAGAATTTTCTTTTCCTTCCCGAGTGGCAGCCTGCAGTGTTCCCTTGGGAATGCGGGGTACCCTCCTGCCTCACACCCAGCCTCCTGACCGCTCGGCTCTGGCCAGGCTCACGGGCCACCTGCCGGATGCCCCTCTCCCCGCCCCCCTGCCCAGCCCTTCTTCCCACCCGTGCACACCTGGCATCTGCCTCTAGTTGTCCCCAGAGACTTGCTCGGCAACCTTCCGGGCGGGGTGACCCTTCCTTCTAGAAGATTCTCTCCGATAGAGGGATTCTGTGGCAGAAACTTGATATTTCTCTGTTCGGTAACAGCTCTCTCTAAAACGCTTTGTGGGTTTGATCAGGAATACAGTCTGGTTTATTCCCAGTGTAATTACTCGTCTTTGTCTTCTGGGTCCTTCAGCGAACTCATTTTGTGATTCTGCTTTTGTTCAGGCCATATACTTTCCTAAGTGTTTAATGTTTCATATGTTCTTTGAGTTTTCCCCGCATCTTTGAAAACCACAATAGGTTAAGAATTATTTAGGTGGAAACAGCTTCTTGTGTCCTGGGCATATTTTGAAATTTTGTGCATATAACATCTATCACTTGTGTTTTTTCTAAGGCTCATTTTTAGTGAGCAGAGACGGCTAATGGCTTTTACTCCATACGTATGTGAAAACGTCTGGGGAATTTTAAGTCAGCTGGTGGGGAGAAATAGAACACAGTCTCAAGGGAAAACTTTTTGTGTGGAAAGAATATAACAGCTACGTTTTAGCTCTGGAGAAATGCATCAGGAAGAAAAGATTTGCGGTATTGTTTACAGTTTTCAAACTGCTAAGTAATAGAAAATACGTGAATGTGGGTATTTATCCAGGTTTGGAACTCTAAATTCTCGCCCTTGCTAACTCTTAAGGTCTGATCATTGCATTCAATGAAGCAAAGAGGTAAACGAAGGAATTCTCCTGTCATACCTTGTGCGTCCACCAGGTGGTGTCCTGTCACGTGGTGGGCGAGGCTGTTCAGTTCCTGGTCAGTGTGGGGCCCGCCTCCCCGGAAGACACGGGGCGCCAGCTCTACGGTGTGCGGCTCTCCCCGTTTCACTTACAGGTGAGTGTGGGTAGATGGAGTGAGTCACGGGAAGACAGTGCTCGTGAACCTGTGGGGCGGGCATGGTGTGATCACGGGGCTCTGATTTCCTAAGATTTTACTAATCATTTATTTCATAGTTTAAAAGCCTTCTGTATTATATTATATCTGCAGGAAATCAAGTGTGCGTGTTATGTATATGCACACACACATATACACACGTGCATATGTGCACACATACATGTACACACAGAGACATGCACACGCAGATGCATGCGCATGCACACACACACACACACACACACACACACACACAAAATGAACTTGGAGGTTGCCATTCACCGAAATTGGGAGACTTGGCGTTTTTCAAGGCATTTCTACAGACCCGGGGTGTGGATGGCAGGTAGGATGAGGCGAGTGGCATCTGAGACAGAGGACAGCTGTTCCGCTTCAGGACCCAGGGCTGGCCGCCAGCCGTCCTCTGCAGCTCAGCAGCTGGGCATTCCTGGTTGTAGTTTTTGGAAAAAGTCAACTTTATTTATTTATTTTTAATATTTATGTATTTTTGAGAGACAGACAGAGCATGAGCGGGGGAGGGGCAGAGAGAGAGGGAGACACAGAATCTGAAGCAGCTCCAGGCTCTGAGCTGTCAGCACAGAGCCCGACGCGGGGCTTGAACCCACGAACTGTGAGATCATGACCTGAGCCGAAGTCAGACACTTAACTGACTGAGCCCCCCAGGCGCCCCTGTGTACGCTTTTCTTACACAGACATGGTTTGCATTCCCAGGGTGAACAAGATTTTCTGGCTACCTCGATGGCCTTTTTCTGAGATCCGGCGGCCCCTCCCCAGCACCCCCCCCCAACACCTCCTTTCTGAGAGTTGAGGAGGGTAAGCGCTACAACATGCACTTGTCAGTGGTTAATGCCTCCTGGCTCCCCACCCCCCAACCCCAGAATTTGGGACAGTGTCATTGGAAAATCCCTCCGGAGTCTGGGACCCATCCGCCCGACCTTCACCTCCTGTTTCCGAACACAGCGAGGAAGCTCCGTCGGGGAAATGGGGTTTCTGAGACGTTCTGCGCCGCCCCGAGCAGCTCAGACACGAGTGAAGCCGCTGTGTCTTTGGTCTCTTGGCGCATTAGACCCGCCCTGTGGACCCCCTCGCGCACAGGGAGCAGCTGGGGGTGGACGGGTCATTAATGCTCAAGGCGGGGACACTGTGGTCCTCTGTTGTTCCCCAGGTACCCGGCCCCACGGGCTGCTGGGGCTGGAGGCCGACTCGGGGGCTGCAGCGAAGCTCGCTTCTCCCAGGGGACCCGGGGTCCCAGGGCCCGGGGGGGCTTCGCTCACCTTGCCCTGATGCTAGCGTGAGCAGGGGCTCCTGAGTAGTCGCTGCTACCGCAGCGGCTCCTTCCTCCTTGGCTGGGGGGGGGGGGGGGGGGGGGGGGGGCAGAGAGGCGAGGCCTGGGCCTTGTGCTCTGGGAGGAGCCGCGGGCCGGCCCACGAAGCCGGTGTGCTTGGCCGTGGCTGCCAGAACGAAGGCCTGCGAGCTTAGCGTAACACAGCATCAGGGTGTCACGCCCCCGTTCTGGAACCCCGACGTCCCACACCCGTGAAACCGGGGGCCGCCTTCTGGTCTGGAAGCTCTGGGTGGGGGGCTCCTTGCTCACTGGACTGTCGGCACGATTTGGGGCCTTACGGCTGCAGGGCCGAGAGCCTGTTTTGGTGTTGGCGTCAGCCGAGGGCCGTCGGCCGCGTCCAGAGGCCCCTCGTTCCTGAGCTGCGTCTTCCCTGCGCCGTGAAGGGCCCTCTTGCTGCCTTCCTGTCCCCCCTGTAAGGGCTCACCTGGGGTAGCCCTTACTCAAGTCACTCCCGCGAAGCCCCTCGGCCACATCAGGGCACATATTCACAGGTGACGAGAATTTGCGTGAGGACGTCTTTGTGGGGGGAGGGGAGAGCATTATTCTGCCCCCACAGATGGGGCGGGTTCGATGTGTTATTGCAAGAGCTCAGAGCCCAGTTAGCGGGTGTGTGTGGACCCAGGCAAGAGAGGATGCGAATGCCCGTGGGCCGTGCGCACAGCCCGCGGGGAGTGCGCGAGTGTGGGGTTGGGCTGAGGGTCCCAGTTTCCTTCGTGCCTTGGTGACACTCCCTGCGAAGCACAGAGAATCATTCATGGGAGAGACTACAGAGTCTAGTGACACCTGGCCTTCAGCCGCCAGCGCTGAGGACCCTGAGTGGTGGGTTGAGGCCGAGGAAGGCGCTGGTGGGGCTGGGCCCAGGGCGAAGGGAGGTCTGGGGCGGGGGGGTTAGAGCTTTCCTTACCTTTCTGAGAGGCGCCGGGAGGCCAGGCAGGTGTGTAAGAACATGACTGAATAGGCACGGATGCGCGCTGAGGTTTTGGTGGCAAGGGCAGCTCTCCAGTAACTTTGTTTCTTCGTAGCTGGAGCTCCACATGAAAGAGAAGAGAGACGACATCCGGATCGAGTGGTCCTTAGTCAGCACTCCAGAAACGGCCGTCACCGTCCAGCCCAAAGCGCCGGTGGAGGTCAGTGGGCAAGTTTTTGTGAGCTCCCTGTGGGTGTGTGTGAGCACGCACGAGCGTCGTGAGTGCCGATCTGGGGAGCGGAGGCTCAGACCAGCGCCCCCCTGGGCAGACTTCTCCCCTCGTCCCTGAGAAGGGGCGGCCACGACAAGGCGGGAGGGATGGCTTTGGCGGATCTGGCGCCGGGCTCTACCCATCTGCCCCTGCGGTCACGCGGCAGCTGTGAGAAATCGTGGGTCTGCCCCCCATGCAGATGTACTTGGGCTGGGAATTTTTTAAAAAAATATTTCTTTATTTTGAGAGAGAGAGAGAGAGCACATGAGCAGGGGAGGAGCAGAGAGAGAGAGGGAGAGTGAATCCCAAGCAGGCTCCACGCTGTCAGCACAGAGCCCAACATGGGGCTCGATCCCACGAACCAGGAGATCATGACCTGAGCTGAGATCCAGGGTCGGACACTTAACCAACTGACCCCCCAGGCACCCCGGGCCAGGAATTGTTGAAAGCACTCCTGTGCAGAGGAGGCTGGGAACCCCTGCAGTGCTGGCCCCGCGGGGCCCCCGCACACCCCTGCCCTGCCTCACCGCCAGGCCCTCCCCCTCCCCGAGGCCCTCGCCTTCCAGGCAGCTTGTGGCTGCCTCCCAGGGGCCCACGTCTCTCCCCACGGCCTCTGCGAAGGGGCCTCTAAACTCGGAATCTCCCCGCTTCCCACTGTCGCAGGTGTTTTGAAGACATGAATTTGGAAGTGGGGAGTGGACGTGCTGGGTCATTCTGGGGTCACCTTCAGTTGCTGGAAAGATCTTGCAACATCACTTATGCCAAAGGCTCAGGTTCTTAGCTTATTTCTTCCCAGGGGCTTTCATGGTACTGGTTTGCAGCCCTGCCACAGTTCAGTCTCTTGTGCAGCTACTGAGATGTGACCACAGCTAAGTGTGTGAGTTTAATCGTTTGTATGTATTTTTAAAAAAAAATTTTAATGTTTATTTTGGAGAGAGAGAGAGTGCAAGAGAGTGCATGAGCAGGGGAGGGGCAGAGAGAGAGGGAGACAGAATCTGCCGCAGCTCCAGGCTCCGAGCTGTCAGTACAGAGCCTGATGTGGGGCTCGAACTCACGGACGGTGAGATCATGACTCACGCCAAAGTAGGACGTTTAACGGACTGAGCCCCCCAGGCGCCCCGCTCGTACATATTTTTACCTTTTGTGTCTCGTAGAATGTATGCAGTTTTTGTTTTTTAAATATTTTTTAATCTTTATTTATTTCTGAGAGAGAAGAACAGAGTGTGAGTAGGGGAGGGGCAGAGAGAGAGGGAGACGCAGGATCTGAAGCAGCTCCAGGCTCCGAGCTGTCAGCACAGAGCCTGACGCGGGGCTTGAACCCACGACCCCTGAGATCTTGACCGGAGCTGAAGTCGGACATTTATCCAACTGAGCCTCCCAGGCGCCCTGCCCCCCTTTTTAGATTTTATTTATTTATTTATTAAGGCTAATAAGCTTGAATTTGTGACTCTTGTAAGCGGTGCACATCAGAACGGTCTCTTCTGGCTGTTGTGTTACACACCAGGTGTGCGCACCGTTTCTCTGGGGGCCCCGGTTCCTTTCCTGTCACTCCTTCCTCCCCACGTGCACATATGCTTTCCCGCGCGGCATGGCTGTCAGGCCCGCCACGCGGACCCCGCCCCGGCCCGAGTTCGAGACTGCTGTGCCCGGCTTTGCGTGGGGACCCCCCCCCCCCCCCCGCCGCAGGGCGCTGACCTCGGTGTTCATCGCTCCTTGGGTTCATTCTTTCTCTGCCTGGTTCTGTGACCCGCCTGACGCAAGCTGAGTGCCTTTGCTCCCGCGAGTACTCGGTTTTAGGCTTTGGCCCCCACCTTTGTAAACTGACATACATGTTTGGAACATGTGAAATGTTAACATGGTTTGATGGTCAGAAATGACACGAAATGCTGTACTCAGACGTCCCGCCCCTGCACCCCGTACTTCGCTCATTAGTTTGTGTTTGTCCTGGGTTTCCTTTTGCAAAGACGATCTTACTCCCTGTTCTCACGCACACAGTGGCGTCTGTATACGTGCTTTACACCTTGCCCTCCAGCGTCCCGTCCCATGGGCGTCTCGACCACCACATGCTGCTCGTGCAAAGGAGACGTGAGACTTCCCGGGTGTAGAATTCCGCCAGCCCCCAGGAGCTGGTCCGGTGGGCACAGGACGGGGGCCTCTGAGCCCCCGGGGGATGTGATGGCAGGTGGGGAGGTGGATGGCCAGAGCCAGCTGCTCATCGGGGGACAAACTTGGCGTCTGAGCGCCCCAAAACACTCCTGTGAAGCGAAAAGAAATTGGGGGCGGGGTTAAAAAAAGACTCAGGTGCATAAACAGAATGAGGTCTGTTCATACAATGGAGTATTTTTTCAGCCATAATAAAAGAATGAGGTTCTGTCAGCTGCTACCGCATGGGGGAACCTTGGAAAGATCCAGTGGAGTGAGACACGCTGACATTGAAACTCGGGTTTATGATCCCATTTTTTTTGAGCTGTCCGCAACGCGCCAGTCATAGAGGCGGAAGGCAGAGCAGTGGCCGGCGGGGGCTGTGGGTGGGGAGGGGTGGGGAGTGAGAGGTAAGGGAAGGGGGTGACAGCCAGGATGGTTACACAACCCTGAATGTCCCAGATGCCACGGAAATGTCTGCTTTAAGATGGTGACTTTTATGTGATGGAATTTCACCTGACTCGAAAACAATCGGTATGTTGAGGTTCTATTGAAGGAAAGATGACAGTGTGGTGGTTATACGTGCAGACCGCAGAGCCTTAACGCCTGAGCTTGGCCCTCGGCTCCGCCACTCATGCACCGGGTGACCCTACACGTGCTCATTCACTTCTCTGTGCGTCAGTTTCCTCATCGCTCAAGTGGGAATAATGATATTCAAGGCCGTTGCCAAGATTAAATTAGTACGTACAGGTGCGTAGAACTGAGCCTGCCCTCTCCTAGGAGTGAGCTAGGTATCGGCTGGTTTGATGATTATTAGTTTCTAGCAGACGGTAGATGTTCAGTTGGGACTCAGTTTACAGCAGCCGGAGCTGGCCAGCCAGCCACCCGCCGACCGACCTCTGCGACCCCTCCGACCCTGTGAGTCAGGAGGTTTTGTGCAGGTCTGTGGTCCTGGGGGCAGGGGTCTTTCCTGCACGTGTGCTGCCCCCCGAGCCGCGTGGGGATGGCTGGAGCCCTGCGGTGAGGGCGTTTTCCCCAGAGGTGACAGGGACACCAAGGGCCGCTGTGGCATTCCTCTGCTGACTGCGCCACAATTCACGTATCTGTTTAGAGACTGATGGATACTTAGGTGGTTTCCAGTTTGGGCTTTATGAATGGCGGTTCTGTGAACATTCTGGGACATAGGAACACATTTCTGTTGGGTATTCATTATTATAGTTTTATGGAGTTGATACCTGATAACGTCAGTCATCCCGTTTTCTTCGTTGACAAGCTTGTCTTTCTCCTCGGGCTTTTCATCTACTGGAATACTTTTTAACTTAACTTAAAAAAAACCAGTCACACAAGACAGAAAAAACTCATCTGTCGCAAAGGCTTTACGCAGAAATAGCAACACATTTCTATGTTGCACGTGTCTTTATTTTTACCGTCTTTAAGGAGCATGTTGCTGTGACATCACAGGGCCCTGTGTCCCACATGAGGCCCAGGGAGTCTCTCTCTCACGGGTCTTGATGTGACCTCCCGGGAGCCCAGGCCGCACCCTGCGGGCTCTGTCTCGGGGTGCGCTGGGGAGGCTGTCACCTGCCGTCCGGCCCCACAGCAACGGTCGTGAGGTGATTCGGCGGCTTCGCCCCCTTCCAGCAGGACCGGGCGGCTGCGGCCACGGCAGTGTCTGAGACCCTCAAGGACATCCTGAAGCACCTGGTCGGCTCTGCCTCCCCGTCGGTGGTTCTGAGCACCAGGCCTGTGGGCGTGAGGGAAGCTCAGGTAAGCCCGTCCACGGAGGGGGCGCTGCCCGACCCGTTAGAGACCGGGGTGCCCCTCCTGGAGACTCTGCGTGCGCCTCTCATGTTCCCGCACGCCCCGCGGTGGGGCCGGAGTGCATGCTGCCTGCTGGTCCGTCTGGACCAGCTTCAAGTTCAGGGCCCGAAGCCCCGTGGGATGGAAGGAACAGGTGTCTGGGCTGCTCCGCGTGGTCCAGCCCTACTTAGCCTTGACCCTCTGCTCTTCTGGAGCCAAAACTTGGCTGTCCCCTCAGAGCGCGTGGCCTTGGGTCTCCTCCTCTCAGGACTGTGGGACCTCAGAAACCCCATTAGCAATGAGAACATGCCCTCAAAGCAAGGGGGCTTATATAATACCCTCCGTAATTGCATGAGCCGCTTATATATTTATATATAATGTGCGTCTGTTCACATGCACAAAAACTTGTAAGGAACAGGCAAGTCCCAGGACCTGCGGGGTGAGTCAGGAGGCTGGACGCCAGGAGTGCCCAGGTGCACTTCCTGTCTGAGGGCCAGCTGTCTTGACATCCATGAAGAGCTGATGTTCCCATTAAAGTCTAAAGGCAGGGAAAAAACAGATATCCAGGCTGGAAAGCAGTCAGGCTCGAGGAATCTCCTCTTTTTCAGGGAAGGCTGGCTTTTGTTCTGTTCAGGCCTTCACCTGATTAGATGAGGCCCACCCATGTTAGGGAGGGCAATCTTCTTTACTTGGTCTTTTAATTTAAATGTTAACCTCATGCAAAAACACGCTCATAGCAACACCCAGAACAATGAGCAAATAGCGGCATGCCCCATTGCCCTGTCAAGTTGACACTTAAAATTGACCATCATGCCCATACAATTGAAATACTGCATCTCCATCCCAGGCATGTGATTGCTCAGGCCTCAGTGCTCGTGGACTTGAATCTTAAGGACTTTTGCGATGACTGCTTCTTGCCGCTCACGGTTAGCAGCATCCTGGTTTACAATAGTGTTTTTTTAAAGTTTATTTATTTTGAGAGAGAGAGAGAGAGAGAGAGAGCACAAGCAGGGGAGGGGCAGAGAAAGAGAGAGAATCCCAAACAGGCTCCGAGCTGTCAGCACAGATCCCGACATGGGGCTCGAACCCATAAACCATGAGATCACGACCTGAGCCAAAATCAAGAGTCGGACGCTTAACTGACTGAGCCCCCCCGGGTGCCCCCACCACAGTGTTTTCTAATGGTGACTCTGAGATGTTGGTAAGCTTCCCCCCAAAACACCCGAGGTCGAATCAGCCCCCAGGGTCCCTTTGCACAGAGCCCTGCAATGTCTCAGAGTGGCCTCTCCAGGATTCCCTGACCTTTGCACCTAAGGGGCCCCGTTTAAAGAGCACTCGCGGCCATGAGGGAAGGGAGGAGGCAAATTTGGGAAAGGGTTTGAGGTGGGGTCCTCCAGGCTTGAGGAGCCTTTTCTCCGCTGGAAAAGCCTTGAGGACGGTGGCTGGTCCCTGCTGCTCCTGCCTCTGGCACCTGCCTCGGGCCCCGCCCAGACCATACCTGGATGTTCCCTGAGAGGGTGCGCACAAGCAGGGGAGGGGCAGAGAGAAGGAGAGACAGACTCCCACAAAGGCTCCACGCTGTCACCCCGGAGCCCGATGCGGGGCTTGAACTCGCGAGCCGTGATATCATGACCTGAGCTGACATCAAGAGCTGGTCGCTCGACCGACTGAGCCGCGCAGGCGCCCCTCACGGGTTTTATTTGGGCATCTAAGGCTCCTGTGCGAGGGGAGAGGTTATGGTTGATGGGGACCCTCCCCTCCCACGAGAAGGGAAAAGCCATTACAGAGCAGACCCCAGGGCCGGGCGTCCCGTGCAGATTGTCCTGAAGACCCCTCCTGTGATGGGCGTCGGGGCGTCGGGTGGCCGCCCCCCCCCCCCCGGTCACTGCCCTTTGTTCTTCTGTCCGCAGAGCCTGCAGCAGCTCGCGTCCAGCGCTCAGGAGCCCTGCCCGCCCAAGCCTCCGAGGGCCCATGAACTCAAACTATTGGTGAAGAACATCCGAGCCTCGCTGCTGCACGATGCTGGCGCTTCAGGCACGTGGCCCGGGGGGCCCTGCTGGGCCCAGAAGTGATTGTCCTATGGGGGCACGTGTGGTTTCGTCATGGCCACCCTCCAGTGCGATCCCTGCCTCTAAGCAGAAAGACCCCCTGAGAACCATAATAGGCAGTTAAAAAAACAGTCCCGATTTTCACACGTGAAGGCTGAGAGAAGACAGGAATGCGGCCCGATCTTGTTCTTTTCTTTAGTCCAAAAGGCACACCCTTTTTTTTCCGGAACTATTAAACTTATAAATCGATGTTAAGCATCCCTGACTGATAACACGATACACACCTTCTCCTCTTCTAGAAGCTGAGGTGCCTCGGGGGCAGTTTATGATGCATCAGAAGGGCTTTGGCCCATTAGGACACTTTGGTGCTGGGAGAGGCTGTTATCAGAGTGAAGACCAGTATTGCACAACAAGTCATTCTTTTTTTAAATTAATTTATTTATTGAGAGAGAGAGAGAGAGAGCAAGCAGGGAAGGGGCAGAGAGAGGGGAAGAGAGAGAGCATCCCAAGCAGGCTCCTCACTGTAAGCACAGAGCCAGACGCAGAGCTTGAACTCACGAACCGTGAGATCATGACCTGAGCCCAGATCGAGAGTCAAGATACTTAACTGACTGAGCCCCCCGGGCGCCCCGAACAGAGTATTCTCTTTAGGTGGTCCCGAGCGTTTGCTGAGCCCCCCCGTGCACAGCAGCGTGGGACAGGACACAACTTTCCACTGCGATCCGATTTTGCTGAGAACAGGAGTGAATTCTGTATTGTCTGAGAACATGAAGGGTTGTTTACCTCATCTGCAAGGACTTCCTTCCGGTCCCTGAAGCACAGACTGTCCACAGTGAACACTGGAGCCTGTGCAAAGCTGGTCCTAGCTGACTGTTCGGGTACAGGCACTGCATGCTGCCGTCAGAGGCTGCGGGCTGTAGGCGCCGAGGGGAATGTCTCTCTGGACCCAGTCGGCCAGGGCCGGGGTCCCTTCCCTCACCTCTGCTGGCAGGTGCACATCTGAGTCCGTGTCTCCCCTCAACAGTGATTGTGAAGATTAGTAAGATAACGTGCTCGAACACCTAACACTGTGTGGTATGTGGTAGAGCATCTGTCATTCCGGTGGTGACTGACTATGCGGTGTGCGCACACCTTCATGACGGACTACACGGTTTGTTCACACCGTCACGACAGACAATAGGGTGTGTTCACACCTTCATGACAGACTACGTGGTGTGTTCACACCTTCATGACGGACTACGCGGTGTGCTCACGCCTTCATGATGGACTACGTGTGTGTTCACGCCATCACAACAGACTACGTGGTGTTTTTACACCGTCAGAACAGACTATGCGGTGTGTTCACACCGTCACGATGCACTATATGGTGTGTTCACACCTTCACGACGGACTACGTGGTGTGTTCACGCCATCACAACAGACTACACGGTGTGTTTACACTGTCACAACAGACTACGCGGTGTGTTCACGCCATCAAACAGACTACGCAGTGTGTTCACACCGTCACAACAGACTACGCGGTGTGTTCACACCGTCACAATGCACTATATGGTGTGTTCACACCTTCACGACGGACTACGCGGTGTGTTCACACCTTCATGTTCGGGACAGCTCTTCGCTAGGGAAATGTTCCATTACGTGGATCACTGATCCCTAAATGGATCAATGACTGAGCCGAGTCACGTGTGAAAACACATCCCTTGTCAGTGGGGATATGGGTTCCCCGGGGTACCCCCACCCTTGGGAGTCATCCCAGATGACTTTTCCTTTTGCAGTCAGTCTCGTCCAAAAGGGGGGGCACATCTTCTGTAGTAACGTCGCCCTTGGGGGGTGTCCCCCACCCCACCCAGGGCAGGGGCAGGGCACTTGGGGGTCCATCCAGACCAACAGATCCCAAGTTGGGGATAGAGAAACTTAAACCTCCAACGCGGTGCTTTGAGAGTTGCTCATGGCAAAGGGAATAAAGAATATTCCCTCAGAAGGGGGTGAGCCAAGACCTCAGGCATTTAATTCAGCCTGTTTTATGCAAAACGTGTATGCAATGTAATGTGGTTAAAAAATAAAAATATCCCTTTGTTCGATCACAGGCAACATTAACCCACAGTGCATAGTGCGGCTGAATGATCCCATCCAGAAGTTCAGCGCCCTCACGAAAAATGCCACGGACCTCACCTGGGAAGAAGAATTCACCTTGTGCGTACAGCCTGGTTACCTTGGGCTTGGGTTTGTATAGCTGCACCTGTTGCAGACTGCCAAATCCTGAAAGCCGTTTGTACCACCGTTCACACCAAACAAATAAAGAACTAAAGTTTTCTAAATGCATGGTACACATCTGAGGTAGTTTTAGGTAGGACGTGGATTTTTTCCGGAAGGCAGCCCTGGGTGTGGGTCTCCTCGCCCATGTTCATCTGTGACCGGAGAGCACTGTTGCTGGGCTCGCTTTAGAAAGGTTCGCCGCCTGGAGCAGAATAGAGGAAACTTCCGGTCGATACCAGAGCCTGGCAGGGAGCAGGCCAAGGGAAAAGCAATGTATAGAAGGTGTAGGAAACCCGAGCAATGTATCATCGAGCTGCGCCCACAGCACGTTAATATCCATACAGCAGGACTCGGGGGGAGGGGGCTCATTCCGGGAATGTGTGGGCGCTTCTGGGAGGAGACCTGCTAACAGAATTCATTGTGTTGCTAGATCAAAGCAGAAAGCAAATGTATCTCGGTACACGTCCGAAAGACAGTCCCTGATGTTTCCTACCCATTCCTAATTTTAAACACTTAACCAGATTTACGGCCATTTCTTTAATAAGATAAAAGAAATGGCTGTAAATGACAAGTACCAGAAGTACTTCCCACGAGGGTCAAGAGAAAGATGCCCACTGTTTTGTTCTCGAAGGACGGGTAGTACAGGGAGATGAGAAACGGAAATAATGTTCAAGTGTCGGAAAGGAAGAGACGAAACGAATCGTTACCTGGAGGTGATACTATCTGCATGTCTAGATTACTTGAGAAAATCAGTTAAAACTATTAGAAATAACAGTAGGTGCAGATAGAAATAATATTAGGAAACCAGTATAAATAATATTTCGGTAAAGTGACTAACTCTATAGAAATCCATTGCGTTCTGATGCTTACACAGTGAACAATTAGAAAAAAATACCGGCCACTGACATCCCATTATACTATAAAGAGCTTTTACAAATCATTAATGAGAACCTGAGCACTCCTTTAGAAAACTGGGAAAAGATGAACTAGAAATATGAAAGCAAGAACTATCAGTAGCTAGAAACTTTTGAAAAGATGTTCAGTCTCAGAAATAGTTAAATACAAGTGTGTAAACAAAAGAGGTACGTTTTTTCACCTTACAGGGTGGTAGAGAGGAGGGGAGTGAGAACAGCCAGTGGCAGTGTGGATTGGGGTGAACATTCTGGAAGTCCTCAAGGTGTATTATAAAAAAGAGAGAGAGAAAATCTTTTAAATGCACATACCTTTTGGCCAGTACACTGTAAGGAAATCATCACACAGTGTTTATAAAGATATATGTACAAGGATGTTTATCTTCGCTTATAATTATAAAATGTTGGAAACAACCAACAATTATTAAGGGCTTGTTGTTAAGGAATTGACAAAATAAAACCTCATAAAGCCACATAGTGGCTCACTAGATGCCTATTAAAAATGATTTGCTGTTCTGTAGTTTCTGACGTGGAAAGATGTCCGTGGAAAAAAAAGTTACAGAGGCGGAGAGAGGTCTACCATGTTCTATGTTATGTTTTTAGATAATTACATAGCTACACTTTTAAAAAACATTTATTTATTTTGGGAGAGAGGGAGAGCTCACACGTGCGAGCAGGTAAGGGGCAGAGGGAGAATCCAAAGCAGGCTCCCTGCTGTCAGCACAGAGCCCGACTCGGGGCTCGATCCCATGAACCGTGAGATCATGACCTGAGCCGAAATCAAGAGTCGGATGTTCAACCGCTTGAGCCACCAGGTGCCCGTGTAGCTACACTTTTTGATGTAGTAACTACTTGCTACATGTAGCTCTTTAAATTTCAATTAACTAAGGGCCCTTGGGTGGCCCAGTTGGATAAGCGTCTGACTTCAGCTCAGGTCATGATCTCATAGTTTGTGGGTTCGAGCCCCACGTGAGGCTCTGTGCTGACAGCTCAGAGCCTGGAGCTGCTTCAGATTCTGTGTATCTGTTTCTCTCTCTCTCTCTCTGCCCCTCTCCCACTTTTACTCTCTCTCTCTCAAAAATAAATAAACATTAAAAAATTAAAAAATTTGGGGCGCCTGGGTGGCTTAGTCGGTTAAGCGTCCGACTTTCGCTTAGGTCATGATCTCGCGGTTCGTGGGTTCGAGCCCCGCGTCGGGCTCTGTGCTGACTGCCAGCTCAGAGCCTGGAGCCTGTTTCAGTCTGTGACTCCCTCTCTCTCTGACCCTCCCCTGCTCACGCTGTCTCTCTCTCTCTCTCTCCTAGAAATAAATAAAAAATATTAAAAAAAAAGTTTAAAACAAAATTAAAAAATTTTTCAATTAAAATTAAAATTAAATTCAGGCCCTTGGTTTGGACTCGCCTTATTTTGAGCTCTCGATAGCCATCTGTGGCGAGCGGTCCCCATTCAGATAGCAGCTGTCTACAATATCTCTGTTATCAGCCAGGAAGTAGCAGAGAATTCTGGGAGACCAGTAACCAAATAGTAACGGTAACCATTTGGGAATCGTGAGGCCAGATAATCTTTATACTGATGGTGATTTGTATTTCTTTGTACAGTGAGAAAAAAATACTGTTTCAAAAAGTTAATAAAGCATTCTTAAGGATTCTTTGTCCTTCCTGCAGTGAGTTGAATGCCAAGTCCAAGGAGTTGTACTTGGAGATTTCAGAGGATGAACAGTCATCAGAAGGTGGGCGTCAAGTGGGTAGATGGAGGCCCTGCTGTCCGGGAGGGGTGATCCAGCTGCCTTGACGGGGCCCCGGAGAAGCTGGGAGGCACGGGCGGGAGACCCCGTAGCGCACACTGGTGTTCTGAAGGCAATGTTTGCTTGAAAGTCCATTTCATTTTTTAAGAAGGTCATACATTTTTTAAAATGTTTGTTTATTTTTGAGACACAGAGAGAGAGAGAGAGAGACAAGTGTGAGCAGGGGAGGGGCAGAGAGAGAGGCAGACACAAAATCCAAAGCAGGATCCAGGCTCTGAGCTGTCAGCACAGAGCGGACGCAGGGCTGGAACCCATGAACCGTGATATCATGGCCTGAGCTGAAGGCAGATGCTTAACCGACTGAGCCACCCAGGCGCCCCCCAAAGTCATACATTTTGGAAAAGAATATACTCAACTGGTTTTTACCTTTTTATTTTCAATGTTTATTTATTTTTGAGAGACAGAGAGACCGAGTATGAGCAAGGGTGGGGCAGAGAGAGAGACAGAGAGGCAGAGACAAAATCTGAAGCATCTCCAGGCTCTGAGCTGTCAGAAGCCCGACACGGGGCTTAAATCCACAAACTGTGAGATCATGACCTGAGCCAAAGTCAGACGCTTAACCAGCTGAGCCACCCAGGTGCCTGCCTGCCTTCTTTCCTTCCTTCCTTCCTTCCTTCCTTCCTTCCTTCCTTCCTTCCTTCCTTCCTTCCTTCCTTCCTTCCTTCCTAACAAATATCTACAATTTTTAAATCAGTAATTCTTGGCTTAGAAAATTACTTCTAATCTCCATCTTCTTAGCCTTCCTAGACCCGTTTTGTCTTGTTCCGACTTGTGGTAAAATGCATGTGATGTACAAATGACCATCTCAGCCATTTCTGAGGGTAACATTCAGTGCTATGAAGTACATTCACACTGTTGCACACCCCTCGCCGCTGTCCCTCTCCAGAACTTTCCGTCTTCCCAAGCCGGGACTCTGTCCCCATGAAACGACTCCCTGTCCCCTCCTCCCCCAGCCCTGGCGGCCCCCCACCTCTACTTTCTGTTTCTGTGGATTTCAACCGGCTCATCCTTATAAAATAAGCCACAGCAGCTTGTAACGGCCCGTGCTTTAGAGCTGGGAAAGCGACGATTAAAGGTAGAACCCATGAAAGTGAGCATGGACCAGTGTGAATCAGGAGTATCACTATTTATTAGGTGTCTAAAAGTCCCCTCAAACATACCAAACTTGGGAAAGGGGGCCCCTTTCCTGGCTTCTCCACAAACCCAAGCCACTGGGGGTTCTCCTAAAGTTACAAAGACACAGGAGAAAGCAGTGTAAGCCTCTCTGTATTAGCAGGAATTCTGAGCTAAGGTCCCAGATTCTGCTCTCTTGGGAGAAGGTAGTGAGGCGCTCCTGACACGCTCAGAGCAGGCGTGTGGGTTCGAGCCCAGACTGGGGTCAGGCTTTCACCTGCAGAGAAGCTGCCTCCAAACCCACGCCTGACGCTCGGCTCCCCGTTTGCTCCATTGGCGGTTCAGTCCTGTATGGCCTCGCAGGGTCTACGAAATTTCATGTGAACAAAACCACACAAAACAGAACGAAGAACAGCAACGATATAACCTTTCCTCGGACCCATGCGGTTTTGACATTTTGCCCCATTTCCTTTATTATCTGAGCTCGCGCTCAGCGGCGGCTCTTGGTTTCGCACACTTTGTTTCTGCACACGCACACGCACGGGAGCGCCCCTCACACTCCCTTTCCTGGGCGCGTGTTTCCTAAGAACGAGGACGTTCTCTCTCGCGTCCTCCGTCCAGCCGTCAGCTTCCTGGATCTGCATGGCTAGGTCTTTAACCGGGCGCCGTGGCCTTCAGGGCAGATTCTCTCCACGCCGCACAGGCTCTTCCACCTCCCGTGGTCTGGAGCGGTGTCACGATCTCTGCCCGTCCCCGTGGCGTTTCTTAAACACCCCGAAGTGCCCTGAAATCGGGCGACGTGCAGGCGGACAGGGCGCCTCGGGGATTTGTCCGGGTCGGGGCGGCGGCTCCGTGGAAGCCCGTGGACGCACGCCCATGCTCTTCCTTCCTTGTGTCCTCTCTTTCCAGCTCTGGGGGCGACCACGACCATTCCTCTGGATTTATTCAAGAAGCAGCCGGCGGGGCCACAGAGCTTCACGCTGACCAGCGGCCCGTCCTCCGGCGGCTCTGTGCTGGGCTCCGTCACCGCAGAGGTACGATGTCACGGCCCACCGTGGCCGCACCCCGGCTTCACCTGCCTGAGACTCGCTTGAGATAAGGACTGTCTTTGCCCGTCAGCCTTCCTCTTGCTTCGGCCGGACACAGGACGCTCCCCGGGCGCCCCTGCGTCGTGCTGCGCATTTCTAGACTGGAACGGGCCACTCTGTGCGCACGATCGCCTTGAGTCGGCCGAGTGGATAACGGTCCATGACGCCGCGTCTCGTGGGCTGGCCCCAGAAAGGCCACTTGTTCTCATCGGGGTTCTCCAGCCTTTGTTCCCGTAGTTACACGTCGAGTGGGTGTGTTTGCGCGTGGGTCTTCCCGCCCTCTGTCGGCTCTGGGGAAGCCCGGGGTAATCGTGAGACGGTTCTGAGACCCCGTGACCTTCGTGGAGGAGGGCAGAGGCTGTGGCAGAGGAAGGCGGAGCCCCGCGTCCTGGCACTGGCCGCGGCGCCGGGTGCGGCGTGTAACTGGCTTTGTCTGCAGTTCTCTTACATAGAGCCTGGCGAAGTGAAATCCCGGCAGTCACCTCCGCCCGCGCCGGCTGCGAAGGTGGAAAAAGACCGCACGGTGATGCCGTGTGGGACCGTGGTCACGACTGTCACTGCCGTGAAAACCAAGCCTCGCTTCGACACGGGGAGGGCGTCCCCGCTGAGCTCTGGTGAGAGTGCAGGCAAGCAGCCCCGGCCCGTAGCCGGCGGGCGTCTGGTCCCTGTGGCCGCAGGGGGTGCGGGTAAGACACTCACAGCACGGAGAGTGGGAACTAGCAGGACGTCTGCCTAGCTTTTTTTTTTTTTTTTTAAAGTTTATCCATTTTTTTTTTGAGAGAGAGAGAGAGAGAGAGAGAGCGTGCACACCTGAGCGGGTGAGAGGCGGGGGTGGGCGGGTGGGGAGAGTATCCCAAGCAGGCTCTGTGCTGACAGCTCGGAGCCTGGAGCTGCTTGGGGTCCTGTGTCTCCCTCTCTCTCTGCCCCTCCCCTGCTTGCTCTCTGTCTCTCTCTCTCTCGAAAATAAAATAAACATTAAAAAAATAAAAAGTAGTCTCCATGCCCAGGTCAGAGCCCGACATGGGGCTCGAATCCACGAACCGTGAGCTCCTGACCTGAGCCGAAACCAGGAATCTGACCCTTAACCGACAGAGCCGCCCAGGCGCCCCGAGAATCATTTTTTTGAAGGCTTGACATCAGTCACTTTAGATCCCGCTGTGCTCTGCACCTGTCCTCGCAGCCCCAGCCGTGGGGACAGCGTCTGTATACAAGTGTGACTTATTTTTGTTCAGACCATGCGTCTGCTTGCAGCCGCGTTAAACTCCCAGAATAGGCTGCCCGGCCCCCTTCTGGAGAAAGCGGAAGTCTGGCTTAATTTCTGAAATTTTATTGAAACCTGGGTTCTCCCTCCCGCCGCCCCTCCCCCAAAAAGAGTGAGATTGTGAAACAATCTGAAAGGTCGCCCTGGCCGTTTCCAGCCGCCTGGACGCGTTGGAGAGACATGTGAGTTCACTTTCCAGGGACTGTAGGCTCAGACGGCTTTAGGGACCCTATTCTGATCCGGATGTCCCCCTGGCAGAGTCTCCCGTGAGGACACCTGTCAAGGTGAAGGTCATCGAGAAGGACATCTCTGTCCAAGCCATCTCCTGCCAAGGTGCTCCCGTCAGTAAAACGTTCTCTTCTTCAGACACAGGTAACGGGGCGCGTGTCGCGTTTCCCTCCTGGCTCTTTCCCCAAACCTTTTGCATCGGCCCCGAGGTCAGCATTTGCTTTTCGGAGCTTGGGAGGTTTATCCAGTAACTAGAGACACGCTAGAAGGAGGAAGGGGGAGGGGAAGCCAGCCAAAGACCAGGAGCGGCATTAACTTTTAGCAGCTGCTTTAACAAAGTAAACGTAAAAGCCCAGCTTATAAAATTTTCGCGCATTATTTCTGGAGCTCAGTGGGCCCGTGCCGTGACTGTCATAAAATAGGGTGCAGGGGTGTAAGCGTCCAGGTGGCTTTGTTTTTGTCTCACGCTGTCCCCGAAAAGCTTGTATCCTAGGCGTGTTTTCCCCCAGAACGCTGGGGTCACTTCCAGGTAATCAGCGTCTTTGGAGAGATGAGTCTTACCCTCTCCCTAAATCAGAGCGCGATCTAATGTGGGCATTAGGTTTTCTTCTTGGCTCGGGTGTGACCCGCTGTCGGCGACGGGGCAGGTGGGCACCTCTCCCCGTTCTCCGCGTCCTGTTTCTGATCTTGCCGAGGTCAAGGATGGGACCGGGCGGAGAGGACGGGGGCCAGGAGCTCTTCGTGTTCCGTCAGCCCCTGGGCCTGCGGGAGTTTTCATGGTCCTCTGGAAACAGCTGGGTTCCCTCGATGCGGGTGGTGTCCCTCCCGTGCTGGCCGCTCCCGAGGCCCCTCTTCCTGCCTCTGACAGTGTGCCCCTCTGACCGCGGGGGCACCTTCACCTGTGCGGGGGGCCCGGGCTGCCGTTGCCACGGTGCTTCCTCACCCGGTCCACGGGCACTTTGACCGGGCTGAGCACCTCCGGGCTTGGCGTCAGGTGGTGGGCAGCGCAGTGGGGCTCTCCTGGGGGGTCCTCGCCAGACCCCTTCTTGTGACCCTCTCTCTTCTCACTGTGGGTCGGTGGCCAGGCAGTTCTTGGCCCTACTGGCCCTTTGCCTCTTCCTCTGGGGATGAAGCGTCTGTCGTCCTCAGGGCCGCGGCCGAAGCGGAGATGGGAGACGGTGCTGCCAGCATCCCGCCCCGTTAAGAGCCTCGCTGTGTAAACTCTGCCTTAACGGGGAGCTACTTTGGTCAAGGTACAGGTTCCAGCTTTGCGTCAGACACCCGGCGGAGCTTCTCGGCTCCCTGATGGTCCCCCGAATGGGGATTAAAAAAAAGCCACCTTCCTCACTGGGCTACATGGAACAATGCGCCCAGCCATTGGCCGGTTGTGGGGTTAACGGTAACCATGGGAGGAGGTGCCCTGGGGAGCCGGCTCACGTGAGTTCATTGCCTCCTGAAGTGCAAAACCTCCTACAAGGTTAGAGGTGTTTTTGTTTGGTAGTCTACTTGCTTAAGCTGTTTTTTCAACTCTGTGGAGGTGTGAGTGGCATACAAGGAAATGCAGAAATCTGAGTAAGCGTGCATCAGTGAGTACACGGAAGCTTCAGAAGCAGCTGTTGACCGAGGGTGGCCTGTGAGCCAAATCTGGCCCTGTTTCTGTTTGCACATTGCATCTGAGCCCAGCCTGGCACGTGTACTTACTCACGGGCTCTGGCTGCTCTCACGCTACGAAGGCAGCAACCAGTGGCCAGGACCCAGTCCAGAAACCTTAAACCAGTTAGGCTCTGGCCCCTTCCAGAAGATAGTTACCGACCTCTGCCTGGGGGCCGTTTGTCCCCAGGTGGCGTGTGTGTACTGTGCTCAGTGCCGCCTTCCCTCCCGCAGAGCTCCTGGTGCTGAACGGCTCGGACCCTGTGGCCGAAGTCGCCATCCGCCAGCTCAGCGAGTCTTCGAAGCTGAGGGTCAAGTCCCCGAGGAAGAAGAGCACCATCATCATATCGGGGATCTCCAAGGTGCGGCCACGTGCCCCGGGGTCACCCCTGTCATACTGGGGATCCCCAAGGTGCGGCCACCTGCCCCGGGGTCACCCCTATCATATTGGGGATCCCTAAATTGTGGCCACATGCCCCAGGGTTACCTCTATCATATCAGGGATCCCCAAGGTGTGGCCACGCACCCCCGGGTTGCATCTGCAGCAGGCTGGCTGCCTCCTTGTGGGAGGTAGCCCTAGCTCTTGACGACATCCAGAAAGTTCCCTGCAAATGGCAGGTTCTCTTACCGATGCAAGTGGGTCTTTCATGGTGTCGTGTTTATGCAGCTTATCCCGTTTATGAGGGAGCTCGAAGGTTTCTGACCGGGGCAGCTTTGGTCGTGGAGGGGTTAGTGAATCACGGGAAGAAAAATTATTGAAAGAGAGACACTTGCATGATGTAAGACTCTCCCCTTAGAGACTGAGCCTCCCCCCCTCCCTTGGTGGTCGACGACCATGTTCCATGTTTCCAAACCCTTTACGTTTTGTTGCAATGAGTGTTCATGCCTTTTGCAACTGGAGAGGCGTGCAGAGTGTTTAAGACATACCGCAGTCTCCACACCCCCCTTCTGCTCTGCGATGCTGGCATGGGGCCGTCCCTGCTGGGTGCCAAGCAGGCCAGTCCCTCAGGGCAGGGGGCCACGCCACAGTCCCTTCCTCGTGTTTCACATCGCAGAATATGCACAAGGAGAATGTGAGCAATGGAGGGGCGGTGGGGAGACGAGGTAGTTACGGGGGACGAGGAACTTTCTGAACGCAGAGGGAGGTTGGTACTTGGAGGGTCTATGGGTCCCGCTGAAATGGGTCATGGGAGGTGCCAGAGGGAGGCCACCAGTCTTGCTAGTGCACTCGGGGCCTCGGTGGCCAGTGCCCACCTCCCAGCTGGCACAGCCGATGGCCCAGCAGCCTTGAGCACCCGCCTTCCAGGCACCAGGCAACAGGTGGTGCCTCAACTGGCTTCCTGGGTGCACTTCCAGCCGCAGCCAGCAGGGGCGATGGTGTCCCCAGAAGGGCCAAGGCTCAAAGGCTGCAGTCTCCTTAGTTCCTGAGGGATGTGAAAGACCTAAGGGATCTCCGGACCATGTTCTCTATGCTTCCTATGGGTTCTTTAGGAGCCCACGGAGCTGCACATTTGATATATCCACCCCACTGCAGTGGAGGTTTTTTTTTTTTTTTAATGTTTTATTTATTTCTAGGAGAGAGAGAGAGACAGCGTGAGCAGGGGAGGGTCAGAGAGAGAGGGAGATACAGACTCTGAAACAGGCTCCAGGCTTTGAGCTGGCAGTCAGCACAGAGCCCGACGCGGGGCTCGAACCCACGAACCGTGAGATCATGACCCAAGCGAAAGCCAGATGCTTAACCGACTAAGCCACCCAGGTGCCCCTGCAGTGGAGGTTTTTTACGGATGCTCAGATTGGCCCATCTTGAGTCAGTGGGCGCGAGCCAGCACTCAGCCAGCAGAGCGCGGTCGTCAGGCAGGGCCCTCCCCCGTGGAGGCCCCCTTCCCACCCTGCAGCCACCCAGCCCCACGGGTTAGCGTAGCACCCCGAATTCTTAGGCTGCGGCATGTAGGCCGAGTAATTTCTGCTGGGAGGAAACAAACGCCTGTAGGATGCGTTAAAGACGGACAGAATCTGTAGCTCCCCCCCCCCCCACCCCGTGCTGTCCGCCACTTAGAAGGAAGTGCTCTCCCTCCCGCAGGCTGGGGAAGGGTGTTTGCTTCCTGGATGCCCCTCCATGCGGGAGGCCAGGCCGCCCCTCGCTCCAGGGGGCCACCCCTCCGCTGCAGGAGACCCGTATTCACTGCACGCAGTGCCTTGGAAACACAGCAGCCGCCCCCTTGGCAAGTGAGCCGTGGGCATCTTTTGACGCCTGGCTTCGCCCGCCAGGATGTTGGACGGCGGCTTGCGGGCTCTTCCATGCCTGCCCCTCCTTCCGAGTGTCCCCCACGCTGACTCTTTCCTCTCGTCCTGGGACAGACCTCGCTATCTCAGGACAAAGCCGCCCTAATGCTGGACTACACGGCCTCCATGGACGGCACCCTCCGGGAGGACACCCCGCCCCACGCAGGGGCGGCTGCCCTCCCTGCCCCGCACGAGGGAGAGGCCCCGGCCCCGCCGGCCCCGGAGCCCCAGCAGGGCGAGCTCGGCCCCTGGGACCTGGGCCCGGAGTCACAGGCCCCGGCGTGGGACAGCCAGGCCCCGCTGGAGCCCGACGGCGACGAGCTGTCCGAGAGCTCCCTGAGCGTGTCCGAGCCGGGCGCTGCCAAGAAGCATAAAGGTACCAGCAGCCACACCCCCCTCCGACCGCCCCTTCTCTCCTGCCAGTTTCTAAGCTAACCTTCCGTTCCCATCTGCTGCTTCCCTCCCCTGCCCCCGTACACACCCACCCCCTCCGCAGCACCCCACCCCAGCGGGCACACCTGTGCGGGAGGTTGGGGCCCAGTCGAGCCCCGCTCGAGCCCCGCTGGGCAGGGGCACATCCGGAATCCTTCCATCTCCCTGCATGGGGGGTGGGGCAGCTTGTGGTCATGCCTTGAGGCACCGCTTCCTCTCTCTGGGCTCCCCCACAACACACACACAGAGTAGAAGCATCTAGAGCATTTAGAGAGGGTCAGATCCCACGATGGGGCCAAAGAGACTCCCACCCCACCCCGCCCCCCGGCTGCGGAGCTAGGCACCTGCTCACGGTGTCTCAAGCTCTTCCTTCCACTAAAACCACTCGGACTTGCTAAGGCCCAGGGGGAGAGGAAAAGCCCAGAAAACGAACCCATCAAGTTAATGTGTGTGTCGTGCTGAGGAACCAACTGCATCCTGAGAATAATCCGTTGTTTTCCATCAGCACTAAATCAGTGCTTTCATTTGCACATTCCTTCAGTGTGTGCAGTTTTACTTAGCACTTTGGCACAGTAGTGACGTGAAGGTCCTTTCTGAGTGAATAGAGTCTGGGGGCTTGAGGTCAGTTCTTGACGGGAGGCGCCAAGCCCCCTGCGCTCAGCTCCCCCTCTGCCCACGTGGGTGTGCCCACCCCCACCCAGGCAGGGATAAGGGGCCCCTGGGGCAGGATGGGAGACAATGCAGGTGCCAGATCCGAGCTGGGAGTCGTGGGTGCACCTCAGTGCAAAGTCCCCGCGCCGCCGAGGATGCGGACGTCCGGAGATCCCAGTCACTCCTGGGGCCGGGGACCTCGGGGAGCTGCTCCACGGCTCTCCCGCTGCCCCTCCCCCCCGTTCGTGCTGCCTAGACCACTGGTTCTCAGACCTGGTGGTTGTCCCCCCCCACCCCCCAGGGGACACTGGCAACTGTCCGGAGACAGAGGGGAATGGGGGGCGGCAGGCGGCGGGCGGGGTGCAGCTCGGAGCCCTGCGCTGTGCAGGATGGCTGGCCAGTGGCGGCGCGTGGCCCTGTGGCCCTGCTGTTGAGGCTGAGAATCCAGCTGGAGGCATCAACGTTCATCCCCGGCCACCTCTCTCCCGTCTGCGTCTTGTGTGTCGCCGTGAGCCCCTGCTTGCCGAAGCAGGCTGGGCACACGCGGCCGCCGCTGGAGGGTAGGAGAGAGGGAAGGGAAGGAGGGAGGGATTTCTAGGTGCTGCCCGCTGCCCCGAGTCTGCGTGGCCTGTGCACTGAGCCTGGCGGCTCCCTTGTTCTTGTGCAGAGGGCACAGCCCGGGTTACGGGAGAGGGGGCCTGCCCGTCGCTCTGCCCGGCACACACGCACCGCTCGGGCCTGCTCTTGGGGCCAGCACGGCCCGAGGGCCCCCCCTGGACTGGAGGAAGGCCGCGAGTGCTGGGAAGGGTAGAAAAGGGGGTGTAGGGTGGGGTGCCCCTCCCCTCCCTTCCTTCTGATGGCCAGCAGCTGCTGCCTCTTCTCACGGAGCCCCAACCTCCCAACGTGCCCTCCTGCGCCCACCCCAGAAGGCCATGCCTCGCCAACCCGAGCACCCTTCCCTCATCCGCTGCTTCCTCCTTCCTCTGCTTTTCCCTCCAGAGGGGGCTTTCCCATGGGATCCCACCCATGGCCGCCCTTCTTGCCCAGCACTGGCCAGGTGATGGCCCCCCTCATAAAGGGCACTCTTGGGGACCTAGGTGCCAACAGTTGCACTAGGGCCATACCCAGATGTGCTCTGCACCCTCCCCGGGGCTCGGCACCGGCACTTCCGGCTGCTGCTGCCTTGACCTGGGTGTCAGGGAAATGTCTCTGGCCGTATTTTCTTTTCTTTTCAAACATTTTTAATGTTTTATTTATTTGTGAGAGAGAGAGAGAGAGAGAGAGAGAGAGAGACAGCATGAGCAGGGGAGGGTCAGAGAGAGAGGGAGACACAGAATCTGAAGCAGCTCCAGGCTCTGAGCTGTCAGCACAGAGCCCGACGCGGGGCTCAAACCCCCAAACCGTGAGATCATGACCTGAGCTGAAGTCAGACGCTTAACTGACTGAGCCCCCCAGGCGCCCCTCTGGCGGTATTTCCAAACGTGCTTTTATTTCAGTGTTTTCTTGAGTGATTTGGACGCAGCACCTCTGTGAGATGTTGGACACTGATGTGTTCCGGACGCCAAATAGATTTTGTGTTGCGCCAGACATTTTTCAACCCCAGGGACCTAGGGGGTGGCTCTGCGAGGTCTCCTCTCATTTCTAAACGAAATAACTGAAGGTTATTTTCTGGCCTGAGAGCCACCTGCGTGGTTTTGCACCCATTTCCAAAACCGCGGGCGCAGTTAGAATTCCGGAATTCCGCTGTTGAGAAGGTCCCCATTGTGAGGGTTGCAGCCAGTTTATCCCCACGTGGGTTTATTTCTTAGCTTAACGGTGTCGATGTGGCTGCGTGGCATGATGTGAATTTACTTAACTTGACTGTGTGTTCAGAGATGGTCAAGATGGTAAAGGTTATACCATTTGTTTCCAGCGTAAGTAAGAACAAAAGTATCGATGGTGACTTTGACAGATATTAAAAAATAAAAAAACAAAAAAACCAAAAATCACCCCTAAACCAAAACCAAACCCAAAGCGCCCAAACTTTTGCCAGACGTCCAGCCCTGTAGTTGCACGCGCGCGTGGGCGCGATGCCTCGGAACTCACTGTCTGTCATTCTTGTTTTGCTCCCGTGCACTTTTCTTTTGACCTCTGACCTCCTCTCGTCACCTCGTGCTCATTCCCTTTAACTTACGAGGATCGCTATGCCAACCAGAATTAATTGCCTGCACAGTAAGTTATTTTTGTCTTACATATATTTTTAAGAATTAAGTGCAGTTTGCCACGGGAATAGCATATTTTGTAACAGCAGGAAGCTGACCCCCTTCCTTTCCTTTTCTTTTCCTGTCCCTTTCCAGCGTGTTTTCCCAGTTGCCTTGGTAGAGGTGCCCTGGCCGGGTTAGTACAGCACCTATGCGGGTGGGGCGCCGGCGCTGTGTCCCCGACGTGGGGCGGGCAGACAGCCCCGCGCTGTGATGTGCATCCACACCTCCCCTTAGCGGTGCCCTGGCTCTAACAAGCAGTCACTTACAAACAGACCACCTGGGGTTTAACTCGAATTCGGAAGCTGTTCTTTGGGCAGCAAACTACAACGTGTAAGGTGACTTTCGGTCATTGCTTTCCTATCCGATTTTGAGATGGATTCTCCAGGGATCGGGTTGGTGCAAACAAGCATAGCTTTGCAAACATTTGCCCTATCACAGCTATAATTCAGAACCACTATTTTCAAATTTCTTCCTGTTTATTTTTCAGCGTTTTTGTGATTTTTTTTTTCTCTAATCTTGTTAGAACCAGGGAACGATTTTTTTTTCCTTCTCTCTGTCTCCCATTTAAGATTTTGGCTGTTTCAAACTACACATAACTTCTCTCCAGATTTTATCCTTAAGGGATCATTAAAGTGTGGGTGGGTCTGAGTCTTACCTCTTGCCCGGTGGTATGGCCGAGCAAGGCTGGAATAAAGGGCTTTATGAAATCCAGACTTCTCTGGTTCCTCCTGCGTGGGCGATGCGAACTTCCCCATCAGTGGAGGGGACAGGTTCTGGGGGCCCGAAGGCAAGTATGACCTGCCATCTATTAGGCATTGCGTTAGCCAGAATTCTCTAGAGAAAGAGGACCGATAAGTTCTACATTTCAAGGAACTGGCTGATGCCATTGCGGGGTCCGAGAGTCTAAAATCTGCGGGCCCCTGCTTGCATCGTGCGGGGTCACCGCTCCAGCCCGGGGTAGCTGAATGCAGGTATCACCCCCACATCTGCTGGCACATCCACGTAACAGATGAGGGTCTGGCTGAATCGCCGGGCACAGCGGCCAGCTTGGCACAGAGGACGCAGCGGCATGGCGAGCCGAGGGAGCTCCAGCTGCCGGGAGGTGCTGCCCTGCCTGCCCTGTGACCCTCAGGCCAGCACAGAGTCGGGGGGTCAGTGCCGCACGCATGGCCTTGTTCTTCTGTCATCAATTATCCCAGAGGGAACCGTGATTTGTGCTCAGAGGCTTGGATGATTTTATTGAGAAATGTGGATGGAATGGGCTCCGTTTATGCTGGCTCTGCTTGATGTTTGAGAGGTAAACTGAGGACCTGGAGATCGCTGTGTGTCAGTAAAATGTCCCGTCCTGTGCGTGCTGCCAGCATGCCCTTGTTCTGGAAAGCCTGTCCACGCCCGTGTTCAAGCGCAGGGCTGTGCTCTGTGACCCCTCTGGGGGCCGAGACCTGGGTCACTCTCTGGAGGCCCCCTGGTGACCGCCTGTGGACGTGCCCTTTACCAGACACCTCCTTGGGGGTGTGACCCGTCCCCTGCCGGCTCAGACACCACCCTTAGGAGCACAAAGGACACAGGCGTGAGAACACAGGCCTTGTGCCCTGGGGCCCACGTAGGGGGGGCAGAGCACCTCACCACTGGGGAGAAGATCTCTCTCACAGGTCTCTCCGGGAGATAGAAGTGGGGCTCCAGCCCATAGATTTGCAAACCTCAGTCCCTCCTTTGACATGGCGCTCCCATCCGAGAAGGAGGTATTGTCCCCATAAAGTTGTGACAAGTCCCATCAAGTCAGGGAAGACACAGGCTTGGAGCGTCCCTCAAGGGACTTTCGGATGGCATGCACCAGGGGACACAGGGCAGCATCTGGTCCTGGGGTTGACGCTGAGGTCATATTTAACACAGCAGCGGCCCTGTTTTGAGGGTGTGCACGGGATGGAAGAACAGAAAACACCCCGTCATGGGTCCCCTTCCTGGGATGCAGGGGAGCAGACCTTAGCTTGGGGGATGGCCGGTGGCCGAGAAGACTGTTCAGAGTTAACTACAGCACACGGGTCTTTCCGCTTTTCCCATTTTATTCCCAGCCTGGAGGCCGTTGCTACGTCATCTTCATGAGGCAAGAATTTGAACTGTAGTCACTTCAAGTGCAATCTCATTGAAACCAGTTAAAGGGGTTGCTTGCCAACGTGCAGACTCCCTCAGCTACCTCTTGCGTCTCCCCTGCTCAGGCTTCCCTTGCATCTGGCGCAAGCCCAGGCTTCAGAACGACCAGACGCTGTGGCCTGCAGGGCGGGCCGGCCCCTCCCGATCCACGTGCTCAGAAATGGACGGTCCCCCAGCTCTGGAGGCCTGAAGTCCAAGGTCGAGGTGTGGGCAGGGCTGGTTCTTGCCGTGGGGCAGGATGCTCTCCCCGCGCTTCTGGTGTTTCTGTTGGGGTCTCCGACCTTCCCTGGCTCACGGAAGCGTCACCCCTGCCCCCACCTGGCACTCTCCCCGTGGGCTTGCGCGTGTCTACACTTCTTCCTTCTGTAGGGGCATAGTGCCTGCCCCCATGCACTGTGGATTAACCCCGTCTGTAAAATAAGGTCACGTTCTGAGGTGCTGGGGATGAGGACCCCAACACGGGAATTTGGGAGGGACACCCCTCCATAACAGCACCTCTGCTCACACCTCAGACCCTGGCCCCCGACCCCAGACCGAATTCCAGGGCGGGGACACATTCTAGAATGGGCTTAGGAGACAGGGCCCTCCAGGACAGGACCTGTTACTGCTGGCTCCCAGGTCCCTGGGGCTTCAGCTGACCTGGGGGTGGGGCCAGTCTCCCGGGGAGACTGGGAGCGTGGGGTTAGAGCACTCCAAGTTAACAGAATGGATCCCACCTTCCCCTCCTCTGTTCTAGGTGAGAACCCACATTAATCTGCCCTTCAGGGACCCCGCCCTTAACCTGAAGCAGGTCCATGTATCAGAAGCACTTCCTTGGCCCCCAAGACCCGAGGTAACCCCTGAGGCTGGCGAGGTAACCCCTGAGGCTGGCGCCGTCAACACGCCGGGTCATTACCCAGCGGGTACCAGTGTGCGCCCCCCGCTGGCCAGGCTCCAACGTCCAATCCAGCAGGTGGCAGTGACTGGCGTTATAACACACCCTAACAGGCGACTTCTTACGGGGGTTTGAAGCTCTGGGAATGGACATTTGCGGTCCCCGGACGCAGCACGTCAGGCATGTAGCAAGAGCAGAGCAGCTCACACGTTTGCACCCCCCTCCCTGCTGCGGCCCCTCCCCCCCCATCCTGGCAACCCCCGCGCACGGCCTCTCCACCTTAGACAGTTAGAGACACGCATCGTTCTTCACAATAGGCTGCTTGAAAACATCCAAAGGGAAAACGAAAGAAAAGACAGAAAAGATCTTTCTGGCAGCCCTGACTACATGACATTCAGCCTATACCTTGGGGCTCTTGAGCTTCGCTCTCCTGCTGAGCCTGGATGGAGCACATGGGAAGTTCTCCCTTGGCTCCGGGTCCAATTAGCGTCTGAAAGTCATGGGCTTTGTCCACGGGCAGGGTGGGCCCGGACTCCACCACTGTCTGCACGCGCTTCACGCAGGAGAGCCAGCAGACCCCACTGGCTCCTGGTGTACGTTGTGGCTCCTGAAGTATTTGCAGGCTCTGTCGTGAAAATAATCAGCTGCCGAATAGCCACACGTTCCTCTTCCAGTTGGTCGGACTTTCTTCTTTCGAGGCCTCCACACCCACACGCGGGCGGGCCGGAGAGGCTCCCGGGCCCTGCTGCGTGGGCCCCGGCCAGCCGCACGCCAAAGGGGCTTTGTGAAGGGGGTTCTGGCCCCCGCTGCTACGCAAGCTTGAATGGGGTCTTTTCTTTTTAATGTTTTTTCTTTATTATTAAGAGACAGAGCGTGAGCAGGGGAGGGGCACAGAGAGAGGGAGATCACAGAATCGGAAGCAGGCTCCAGGCTCCAAGCTGTCAGCACAGAGCCTGATGTGGGGCTTGAACTCATGAACTGTGAGATCATGACCCGAATCGAAATTGGATGCCCAACGAACTGAGCCCCCCCCCGGGCGCCCCTCAAGTTGGGTGTTTATTTATTTATTTATTTTTTAATGTTTTTATTTATTTCTAGGAGAGAGAGAGAGACAGCGTGAGCAGGGGAGGGTCAGAGAGAGAGGGAGTCACAGACTGAAACAGGCTCCAGGCTCTGAGCTGGCAGTCAGCACAGAGCCCGACGCGGGGCTCGAACCCACGAACCGCGAGATCATGACCTAAGCAAAGTCGGACGCTTAACCGACTAAGCCACCCAGGCGCCCCTCAAGTTGGGTGTTTAAAGAATCATTGCTGTCGAAGTTGCCGCGGCTGTTTTTCTATTCTGTGTCTCACCACCTGACACCGTGCACACACGGGTTGAGCTGCGCACACAGTTGAGGTCTTGTGAGCCAGAAACAAGCCCGTGACAGACATTTTTGACAGCCTGATGCACATACAATAGTGTTTGCAGTTACAAAGCATCTTAGTCCCTGAAAGAAGATACTTTAACGTTCCTAAGAAAGCGAATACCATTGTTCTCAGAGATCCTTATTGGGTTTTAGTAGCGTGATCCTCTTTCCTGGGGCACGTAGTACTTTTTCACCATTTACAGCCTTCCTAATGCAGGAGAGCAAGCGGCCAGGGGACCCGAGGTAGGGACAGGCTGCTGCCATCTGCTTTGACTAGGAAGCCGGTGACGGATGTCCCTGCCCTGGTATGCACAGGGCAGTCCAGCTCACCGCTTCTCAGCTCGGTCTTTAAAAAAAAAAAAAGTTTATTTATTAATTTTGAAAGAGGGATCTGCATTAGCACGCGCAGAGGAGGGGCAGAAAGAGAGAGGAGGGGCTGTCAGCACAGACCCAGTGCGGGGCTTGAACCCACAAACTGTGAGATCACGACCTGAGCCAAAATCCAGTCGGATGCTTAACTGACTGAGCCACCTGGGTGCCCCTCAGTCTTTGCATCCAGAGAACTCTGGCGTGTCGTCCAGGCCAGATTCCGGCTGTTTCTCTCCCGTGTGGATAAGTGACGGCACACGGAAGAAATTGCTGATTAGAGTAGTTCAAACTTCCTTGCTTTCCTTTTCCACTTGGAGTAGGGGCCCCGGGGTTTCGTACGCAGCCCACCTCACCAGCCCCCTCTCCTCTCCTCTTGCAGGAGGAATTCTGAGGAAAGGCGCGAAGCTGTTCTTCCGCCGGCGACAGCAACAGAAGGACCCTGGCATGAGCCAGTCGCACAATGACCTCGTGTTCCTTCAGCAGCCAGAGGGGGCCCGGAGGAAGGGGGCGACGCTCACCAGGATCCTCAACAAGAAGCTGCTGTCCAGGCACAAGGGCAAGGGCACCGTGAACGGGGGCCCGGTGGAGCCCGCGGCCGGCGGCCTCCCCCTCCCCCACCAGGACTCGGGGCGACGCGTGCCCACCTAGCCACCCCCAGGGCGGAGGGAGAGTGCCTGCGAGCCGTCAGCCAGCCGCCCCATCCTGCCGGGCTGTACCTGCCAAGGTCATCCCGTCAAGAAGGACGAAGACCCGCGTCTCCGGCCAGGGGGCTTTCCCAGAGGAAACTCACGAAGCCCCACGTGCCGCCAGATGCCAAAGCGGACCCGAAGGCGCTGCCGCACGGGCTGTGCCCAGAGCTGAACTTAATTAGAAGATCTGCATTACGGACGAGAGCGCGTCCTATAACGGAAGGGGATGGGGCCGGGTTGGGGGACTCTTATCTCCCCCACTCTGTGCTCCAGCGCGTATTCTCCTGGGTCCATGCCTGGACCGCGTCGCAAAGAGGAGGTGTCCCTCTGTGCTGTCACTGTGAGCGGAACGGATGGGTCACCTCTCCTGCCTGGCAGCTCAGACGCAGAGCAGCCGGCCCTGAGTGCGGAGAGGCGGGGCGGAGGCGGGATTTGGGGTCAGTAGAGAAATGGAGGTGGTAATGGATACACTGTGACAAAGGCAGGAACGTAGTTGCCTTTGACAGCAGCCATAGAACCCGACAAGTATGCAAACACTAGATCTATCCCGTGCACATGAGCTTGAACACGCTTGTATGTTTCCTTTGCTAGCGGGCGACCTGTAAACTCCGATGTGGCTTTCCCAGCCTCCTCTGTGGTTTCAAAAGGGCTCAGGACACCAATGGGGCAGTCACCAGGTGGCTTTTTTCCCCCGCCACCAGCTCACCCGCTGGGGTACTTGCTTAAACAACAGTGCAGGGAGGGGCCTCTGGAATTAAGTCCTGGGCAGTGACAGCTAACAGAACAGGGCCACCAGCCACCCAGGGTTTTTTCCTTTAGTCCAAGGTTAGTTTGCCAAATGTTGCCAGTAGCTGAAACAAAGTAACTCTGGGGCAAAAGAGAAAAATCATTCTAGGTCTCTCCTGTGAGCCTTAGGGATGGAAGGTTAACAGTAACAAATGGGCCAAACTTGCCTCACATTTTTCCGGGAACTCTTCACAATCGGCTGTGAACAGTGCTTGATGCATTTGGGGGGCAGTGGGGGGGGGGGAAGCTTGCTTTGATTTCCAGTGGGGAAAAAAGATAAACGTGGCCCACAATGTCCGTATCCCCGTGTGCCCTTCGGGCCACGTTCCTCGCCCGTGCGTCTGTCCACGGGCTTGCACGCCGGCCCGTGTCCGCTGAATGTGCCACGTAGCTAGGACAAGCTTATTTTCACCGTGGCCGTCCGTGTGAAAGGCTCTGATGCTTTAATAAGATTCACTTTCTTCCAAAAAGATTTAAAGGGCCATAATGGAGCCTTCACTTTTGTCACGGATATGAAACTGGGGAAGCTCCTTCCTACAAAAGCTTCCGCTCATCCTTAAACTTGTATTTCAGGGGTAAGAAAGCCACTGCCAAACAGAAACCTTTTCGAAAACCAAAATTATGGAAACTTTTTGTTTTTCCTTTTCTCTCGAGGGAGAGATTAGAAGACCACATTAAGAATTTTACTTAAAAATACACCTTTAAAAAAATCTCTCGGGGTCCCAGATATTCATCAAGTAACTATAAAATGGCTTTGTTCCCCGTACACTGTTCTTGAAGACGATATTCTGGTCCTCACCGTAAAACACCACGTGGCCTTCTGGATGTATGAACGCCAGGTCAGTCCCCATAGGCTGGTAGTCTCTCCCAGGCTCTGGGGCGCACATGGCCACTTTGTTCTGTTTTATTTGAAGGACTGTCCTTCCTCACCTGGTAGGCAGAGCTTGGGACACATTCAAGATTACTTCTAAGAGGACCTCCAGTGTCAGAGTTTCAGGTGCCGATCAGAAGTTCTTAGGACAGTTTTCTGTTTGATTTTGCAGCTCAGATCAACTCAGTGTATTACGTGTGACGCTATCAGGGCTCTACCTAAGAGCTTTCTCGCTCTCAAGAAAAGGAAATGTCTTCGCCATTCCCATTCCCAATTGACCCCGTGAGGATTTTGGTCACTGTTGTAATTTCTGTTAAGGGCTCTGCTTTCTGCACTTCCTGGTGACTTGAAGCCCCTTGCAGATGGAGGGCGAGTGAGAGGCGGGCTGCGTGTGTCCCGTGTGTGAAGCAGGGCCGTCCCACGAGACAGGGAGCGTGGTGTCCCCGAGATCTGTGTTTCCATGTGTCCGTCCGGCACACATCAAGAGCCCCGTACACTTGAGTAAGATCCAGAGGCCCCTCAAGATGCGCACACGTTTTCTCCAGCCGAGGGCCTTTTCCGAAGTCACAGAGGACAGGGCCGTGTCAGGGAGTTTAGGAGAAAATATAGGGCGGAAGGGTGAGTGAGGGCAGTGCTGTGAAAATGGGCCCTGTTGATACTGTGATCGCTTCGTCCGCGTCTGCTTCCCCAGGCCCGCGCTTTCCCGCGTGGGGATTTACGTGACCATGAGCGCTGTAAAGTTAAAACGCCGACGAAGGCCACACACCAAGTACTACACATTCTTGTTCGTAAAGCACCTTATACCCGTCCCTCGTGCGTCAGCGGCTAGAGCGCTTTTGTGTTTGTCTGTCTTCCTGATACTTTCACGAGCGGCGTGTCGAAGTGATTTCTTCTGAACGCTGGGCGACGAATGGGGCGTCTGTACATCGGGAACCGGGCACTCAGGTTGGTTCTGGTGCACTGGGCGTGCCGCCCTGGGTTCAGGACTGTGCCCAGGATCTTTGCAGAGGCAAGTGCAGAAGCCCTGAGTGTGTGTGTGTGTGTGTGTGTGCGTGTTATTACTGTAGCAATAAGAGAAGCAGCGATCTCACTGTCCCGGCTGAAAACCTGCTGTGAAGAAGGTCGAGACAGAGCACTTTATATAAATCGACCCTCAAATTTAAGTGGGAAGCCAGCCCTTGATTCCTCCCGATGGCTACCTGGCCGGTCACTGCCCAGCAGCCACAAACTGGGGGCCCATCTAGATTTCCAATTGGTTTCACTGGCTGCATTTATAGGAGAGAGCTGGAAGATTCTCTTCTGGGGCAGAAAGGGACAGATTAAGTGCTACCGCTGCCACCAGCTGGTGGGGAGGGGCTTCCGGGTAATTGTCTCACATCTCCTGGTCTTGAAATCTCGCGGCACAAGCCGGTGGTCACTGCAAGCCAGAGTGTTTCTCTGCGCTGGGTGGGAACAGGACTCGCGCTGGTGTAGACCGGAGGCCGGGCCCTCTCTCCCCGTCCCAAACCTGCTCAGGCCTGATTACCAAAGCGTGAGGCACGGACTCACTGGCACTGCTGCTTCCTGCAGAGCAAACTCAGGTTACCTCCGGGTCCCTTCCTGCAGCATATTCCTGCTAGACGTGTGAGGAGGCACCCGGAACACACCGGCCTGCCCGGTCTACCCAGCGCCCAGCCAGTCGGCAACGAGCCGCTTATTATTTAGGCTTGTGGTTTTTCACCCCCAGTGTCACATCGAAGCTACATTTTTTTTTTTTTAAAGAAGAAAACGCAAGGTTTTCCAGGTATGTGGCAGAGTCTGGCTTGACGGTCAGGCGGGGGGATGAAGCCACCTGGCGGTGACTGTAACCCTCAGTAGCACTTTAGAAACGCGTTACCTGCTGTCCGGCCCCAAACCGCAGGAGGTGCGGCTGGGACACGAACGGTGTCTGAATGAAATAAACGTGCACATGGAACACTAACAGGCCGAGTCGTGTCTGCTGCGCCCTGGGCCGGCCTGGATCGCCTTCTGCTGGGTGTTCAGCCGTCTGCGCGCACGCCCGTCATGACTGGCTGCGCGAGCGGAGATGCGGGCCCTTCGCTGCCGCCACTTGCTTTACTCTTAGATAATTGTGGGTGTTACCCGTCAGGGTGGGCTGGGCCTGGGTCCTCCGGGGGCAGAAGCTGGGATGATGAGGTGACTGCAGGATGCCCAGCAGCCCTCTGGGGACACTGTTCTCTAGGGGGCAGGCTTGCACCCATCCCTGAGCTCTCGTGGTCCTCACCGGCCAGGATAGCGTGGGGCAGGTTCCTGCCTGGGCTCAGAGTAGAGATGGTGTCACACTGACACGGGGCTTGTGGCGGGTCCCGGGTGGGGCGGGGCAGCGGGGGCCTGAGCCGGGCACAGACACACGGATGGATCCCGCACAAACCCCGCAAGCATCGGGGCTCCTTCCCGGCGGCCGGGTTCTCCGTCCCGTCCCCCCTTCCCTGCTGTGCCCAGGTGCCGCAGCATTTGGGACACTGGTGCCCAGACCCCGACCTCTTCCTGGGATGGCCTTGCGGGGTACGGAGTGGGGGCCCAGATCTCTGATACCTTTGTCTCCCCGTGCAGAAGCCCCAGCCGTTCTGGGGCTTGGAGTCGGATTCTCAGCTCTGGTCGTGGCCAGGTGGGGAGGGCGGTGTCTGGGGGTCTGAGCCCGCGGCCCTTCCTGTGCGGGCGCTGGGCCCGGCGGGCTCACTGGAAGGCCAGCCTCGCCTGGATTTGTCAGATCTGCCGGTCACCTCGAGGCCCACGCTGCATTCTTACCAATCACATCCACACTGCCCACCTTAGCCCATGTCAGCTACCTGCGGCCACCTGCGAATGCGCTCCCCTCGCCCCCGTCGTACGCCCCTCCCTGTCCTAATGACCTAGCTGAACCCAAGCCCCACCTGCTCCATGAAGTAGCCTCAGCCACCAAGGATGACCCAGAGCACGGGGCACTTCAAGTGCCCGTCGCTTGACCCCAGATCACTGCCTCTAACGCTGGCTCCTGGGCGGGCCGCGTATCCCCAGGGCTCAGGACAGCGCGCACCTCAGGAACACGGGCACATCTGGGAAGTCTGCTTACGCCCATCCCGCCCCACTCCCCCGGGCTCAGGGTCGGGGCACAGAGCCTGCCAAGGAGGGGACCACCATGACAAAACCATGCTATTGTGACCTTGGCCACTTCCTATAAATACAGGGTGCCCAGCACTCAGGTCAGCAAATAGTTCGTACAAGAAGAAAAGGGGGATTGGGTTGCTCACCGCAGGGGCCAGACGGATGACGGAGGGCAGGCCTGGGCTGAAGAGAGTGCTGCCGGACCACACCCCCGTCCCGTGGCGCCCCAGAAGCACCCGCACCCACGGCGCAGCTCAGCCCGGCTCCACGCCTCCACTTCCCGTTGTGTCCTGTGTGTGCCAAGCATCCGGCACTGATACCAACGTTTATCAGGCCAGATGCTTGGGGGCCTTGGGCTATGCGGTATTTTATACAGAAGCTGGATAAAGACGCAAGATCACAGAGACAGTGACTACGGTAACTGAGCACTTACTGCATGCCAGAGCTGTTGAGTGACTCTTACACTCTTAGAAACAACCCCCTGAGTCATGAGCCATCTCAGCTTTGCAGATTGGGAAACGGGGGCACAGACGGGTTAGGTGACTTGCCCAAGATTACACAGTGGAGAAGTGGCAGAAGACAGAATTTGAGCCCAGGCTGTCTGGCTGGAGGGTCCCTGCTGCCTTGTGTCGGATGCAGAGACCAAGGGCTGCCGGCCTTACATCAGCCCTGTTATGGGCGAGAACACTGTCCAGTGACATGCAATGCTTGGCACACGGTGAGAATCAAGTTACTTGCAGAGTAGATTTCGCTCTTTATCTGCATAGCAACACGTGGCCAGATTGAAAAGTGAGACATAGTGTAGACAAGTGGCTTAGGGTTATTTATTTTTATAAAGTCTGGTATGAAAGGAATCCACTAACAAAACAACAGGGCTGATGAGCTGTTAGACAGTCCACGCGTGAGGCAGCCAGTGCCTGGCCGAGAGCATCACCCCGGGGCAGGGCTACGCGCATCGCATCGCCATCATGATTACACCTTAACGCGCAAGTTAGTGTCTGCTGGGGAAGAACAGCGCTCTTCGCTCTTTGGAAAATCCATTCAGGGCAAAGAAAGTTCTTCTGCTTATTTTTAATTCCCCGACTTATTTTGTAAAACTTAACACTGACAGAATAATCCATAGAGCCTTCAACTAGATTCGCTGATTTTGCTGAGTCTGCTCTACCTACGTATCTATCATTGAATGATCAACTGACCGATCGCTGTTTGGAGATGTCATGTTCCACCCTGAATTCTTCTGCGTTTTCTAAGGATGGCATCGCCACACCACACACACAACAGCTGTCATCCTCAGGAAACAGGTCGTTGATGCAACATCACTACCCAGTATCAGAGGCCACATTCAGATCTCCCAGATGCCCCAGAAACATCTTCTATAGGTGGTTTTTCTTTTCTTTTATTTTTTTTTTCTGCTTGGGGTTCAGGCAAGCCTTCTGCACTGCTTTTGTTCTAAAGAATAAAATCCGAGGGGCACCTGGGTGGCTTAGTCAGCTAAGTGTCCAACTCCTGATTTTGGCTCAGGCCGTAATCTCAGGGTTTTGTGAGTTCAAGCCACGCATCAGGCTCTGAGCTGGTAGCGCAGAGCCTGCTTGGGATTCTCTCTTTCCCTCCTTCCCTGCTCGCTCTCTCAAAATAAATAAACATTTAAAAAACTAATAAAGGGGCACCTGGGTGACTCAGTTGGTTAAGCGTCCGACTTCGGCTCAGGTCATGATCCCACGGTTGGTGGGTTCGAGCCCCGCGTCGGGCTCTGTGCTGACTGCCGGCTCAGAGCCTGGAGCCCGTTTCAGATTCTGTATCTCCCTCTCTCTCTGACCCTCTACTACTCACGCTCTCTCAGAAATAAATAAAACATTTAAAAAAAACTAATAAAAAACTTTAAAGTTTTGGATATGGGGCGCCTGGGTGGCTCTGTCGGTTAAGCATCCGACTTTGGGTCAGGTCAGGATCTGGCAGTTCGTGGGTTCGAGCCCCGCGCGGGCTCTGTCTTGACAGCTCGGAGCCCAGAGCCTGCTTCGGATTCTGTGTCTCCCTCTCTCTCTGACCCTCCCCCACTCATGCTTGCTCACCTTCTCTCTCAAAAATAAACATTTTTAAAAAATTAACAAAATTTTGGATATAAACCTGCCTTGAAAGGGATTACTTCCAGCTCTCATGGAAGAACTCTACTGAACCCGTTGGTTGGGAATTCTTTTGAAGATGCAGCGACCCTTGCAACTATGCAACTACAGACCCCACCCCTGTGCTGAATGAACTGATACGGAAACGGCTTTAGGCGGGGCCAGGTCTTCCACTTTTATGAGTTTCCACTCTGCTGTCCTGTCAGTGTTTTCCGCAGACAACATGCTCTTGCCCTGAATGCCGGTACCCGTGCTGTGCACAGGCCCCGGCCACCAGCCACCTGGGCATTCGAGAACTGTGAGCTCCCTAGAGGGGCAGGGGTAGGTGAGGGGGGCATGTTAGCTGCAGGGGTCAGTCTAGGGCTCTCAGGGATCGAGCAGAACCTGAATGCTGAAAAGGCGGTGGCGGAAAGCGCCCGGGGGGGCATCCCCGGGCAGAGGGAATCTGCACACAGGCCCTAACGGTGTGAATGAGGAGCAGAAGGCCGGAGGGAGGCTGGACCCCACAGCGGGGGCGGGTGTGAGCAGGGGAAGGCGTGGAGGTGGTGATCAAGAAGGGTGTGGCAGGCCAGGCCGAGGTTCAGCCCTACTGTATGTGACACCGTGCCACCCGGAAACCACTGCAGATGGTCCGGGAGGGGCGGAGACAGAAGTCCAGCAGCCGGACCGGCTCAGCTGCCTCCTGGGAGCCGCTCGGCCTTCTACCCTCCCGCCACGCCCTTTCGCAGGGTCCTCACTTAGCACCAAGCTCACACACATACCCGTTCGTACAAGCGGGTCAAGCCGCCCAACACATTTCTGCTCCTGGGACTGCCGTGCTGAAGGTTCATATTTTCATATTAACCAAGGGCCCCCATGGGGGTTATACGAAATTATTCTCCCCCCAGTTAAGGAGGAGACAGATATTAGGCTTCAAATATACCAGATCTTTGCTAATATAACAGGTAAAAAACCATTGTGCTGCCAATTTGCTTTTTCTCCTGCAGCAGAATATGGTTGAATAGCTTTGCCTAAGCTTAAGAGCCACAATACTTCCTTTTCTAAAAAATTTTTTTTTAACATTTGTTTATTTTTGAGACAGAAAGAGAGAGACAGAGCATGAGGGGCAGAGGGAGAGGGAGACACAGAAAGAATCTGAAGCAGCTCCAGGCTGAGCTGTCAGCACAGAGCCCGACGCGGGGCTCGAACCCACGAACCTCGAGATGATGTTGGAGGCTTAACCACTGAGCCAGCCAGGCGCCGGGGGCCACTCCCCTTCCTCTACTGGGAACTGTCCATTTTTCTACTGGGTTCTTTACCTTTTTCCTGTTGATTCCTAGGAGCTTCCCGGGTATGAGGGAAATGATATCCGATATCCATTTCAAATCATTTTCCATCAGCTCATCCCTTCTTGGACTTGATCAGTGGAGCGTTCTGCCAGGCAGAAATGCAGAGGACAGTTTTACTGCTCTGCCCCAGAGTCTAAAAGAACCCTCTAGTCCCTTCTAACATTCTGTGGCATGGGAGTTTTTGGGTTATTTTTGAGAGAGAGAGAGAGAGAGAGAGAGAGAGAGAGCGCCGGCGTTGGGGGGAGAGGGGCAGAAGGAGAGAGATTTAAGCAGATTCCAAGCTCAGCGCAGAGTAGGGCCGGATCTCACCTCCCCAAGGGGCATGACCTGAGCTGGAATCAAGAGTCAGAGGCTTTACCAGGCACCTGCCCTCAAGTGCTTTTGATGGAGGGAGGGTACCAGGCCACCAAGCCCCAGATCCTGGGGGGTGGGAGGTGCAGAAACAGCTCCAGGGAGCGGTGTGGCCTCAAAGGTGCCCTGGCCACGGGGGTGGCCTTCCCAACGCTTCCACGCGGCAGCGTCACACGGGCCACGAGTGTGGTTTGGGAGCCCGCTCTGCTGGGGTCCAGACGCTGCCCCCTCCCCGCCCCCACTCCCCCAGCTTGTTGGGGGCCTGGTAAGGCTCTGTGCCAGTTCCCTGCGGACCAGGAGGCCTGGGGCACGCTGCCGGCTATTTTCAGAAATAACTACCATCCGGCAGCAAATCTCAAACTGACTTTAAAGAAAAATCCGACTCTGTCTTTCAAGTCTTCCTGCCTCAAAAGAAATTACGGCTCCAGCAGCCCTAGAAGAGATTTACAGGGGCCCCAGGGGCCCTCACCAGGCGCGCCTCCAGGAGACCCGCGGCAGAGCCAGCCCCGCCCCGCCCAGGCGGGGCGGGTCCACGCCGCCCTAGCCCTCCGCCTCCCCGTCCACACCGGCCGCCCCGCCGGATCTACATCGCCTGCTCCGCGTGCCACACCACCCACTCTTCTCTTCCCGGTCTACACCGCCTGCCCTCTACAGATCTCTGTCCACGCCGCCCTTACCCTCTTTATCACCATCTCCGCGTCGCCCCCCTCCTGTCCACACCGCCGTCTTTCCCACTACCCGATCCACATTGCTCGCTCCTGGAGCGACACCACCCACTCTCCCACGCCCGGTCTACACCGCCTGCCCCCTGCCGCTCTCCGTCCACGTCGCCCTTGCCCTCCTCGTCAGCATCCACGCCTCTCTGTTCTCCTGTCCACACCAACCGCTTTCCCACTGCCCGACCCGCATCGCCCGCTCCCGGCTCCACAACCACTCACTCTCCCACACCCGGTCTACACTGCCTGCTCCCTGCCGCTCTCCGTCCATGCCGCCCTTGCCCCGCGCATCACCATCCACGCCTCGCTGCTCTCCTGTCCACACCGCCCTCTCTCCCACTCTCGGTCCACACAGCTTACGACGTCGCTGTTCTCCAATCCACATCACCCGCTCTCCCACTCCCGCGTCCACACCGCCCGCTCTCCCACTCCCCCGGTTCGCGCGACCCGCTTTCCTACCCCCGGTCCACACCGCCCGCGACCTGCTCGCGGCTCTGGGTCCGCGCCGCGGGTGCACGCCGCCCGCTCTCCGTCGGCCCCCGTCCGCGCCGCCCGCGCCCGCGCCGCTCGCCCGCGAACTACAACTCCCACAATGCCCCGCCGCCGCCCCCCGGCTTCCGGTGCTGCGCAGTTTCCGGAGCGGATCGCAACCCGGAGTCCGGATCCGAGCCCGCTCTGCACATTCCACAGGCAGGTAAAGCCCGGGGCCCCGCGCCCGCCGCCGCCCCCGCGCGCCGCCCCGGCCCGGCCCGGCCCGCGCCCCGCGCCCCGCGCCCGGCCCGCCGCCCCGGCCCCGCCCGCCCGCCGCCCGCCCCGGTCCAGCCGCCATGCCGACTGTTCTTTGTTACATTCGCCGGCTGCGGGCTCCGTGGGCGATCGGAGTCAAAACCCGGCTGGATTTCCCGGAGCCGCTCCGGGATCGCCCTGCGCGCCGCCCGCCCGCCCCGCCGCCCCGCGGCCCGCGCGCTCCGGGCCCGCCGCCCGCCGCCCACGGCCCACCGCCCGGCCGGCGCGGGGTGCGGGGCGGCGGGGCCGCGCTCGCCCGTGGGTGCGGCGCGGGGGCCCCTCCGCCCCCGGCCCCGGCCCGCGGTCCCCGCCCCCGGGCGCCCTCGCCGCCGACGGCCCGGCGTGATGTCACCGCCCCCCCGTCCTGGCGCCCAGTCTCCCGGGGGGCGCTCGGGGAGGGCCCGGATCCCCGCCACGGCGGTTAGGAGCGCGGACCCCGGAGTCCGGGCGATGGGGCCCCCTAGGCCCCCTCGGAGCACCCCCTGCCCTCCCCCCTTTTTCTGTAAACCCTTGGGTGGCCTAGGGAAGGGAGTCAGGTCCGTGGACAGGTGACACGGGGTGGGTGGCGGTGCCAGGAGGGGCTCGCCGGCCGCACAGGTGAGGCCCGGCCGGCGCGGACAGGTGGCGGCGCTGGCCATGTGGCCTCCCGCGAGAGACAGGTGTGCGCGGCGAGGGTCGGGCAGGTTTGAGACCAGAGTAAACTCGCCATGGAAAATGACCTGCCTGGTGGAGTTGTGGGCTTACCTTTCTTAAGCTCTTCATGTAGGGGATGGGGTTTCTCCCCCAAAAGGCTCAGAAATTGCCCCCGCCCTCCCCTAGGGTGAGTTAAAATGGTAGAAGTGTGACATCAGAGGCACATGGACCCGTGTGTGTGCTTAAAGCTGCCCAACACGACACCACATTTGCTCAAGCCACTTTCCTAAAATCTGGACTCACCAGGTAGATTTGGAGAACCCGGCTTGGTTCCTAAAGGTATTTTTGAGGATGAAAAGTAAGGGAGCCTCTGGTTTTATGATGAACCTTAGCGGAATAACCAGAACTCTCCCCGTGGGTGCGGAGAGGCAGACAGGGTTGTGAGGAGGGCCGCGCCCCACCCCAGGACAGCACACCACCACGCTGTGTTTCAGACCTGCACGCTTTCCATATTTTCACAGCTCCGCACGGCTTCTCCTGATTTCCTTGACATCACAGCCTTACGGTGAATGGCTAAGAAAGAGAACTCTATGGTTTGGATTTTGAAAGGGAAAAACAGCAAAATTCTTCCTTTGTAGAAAGAGTTTTCCCTGTCGATTTCTTTGATTCATACATTTGTGCAAAAAAAAAAAGTTGCCAACAAAGGATATAATGTTATATTCTATTTTGGAAGCAGAAAAGACAGTTATATTATTGTTATTATTATTACTTTTTACCAGAAAACAAATGAGTCAACCCCAGTTACAAGGCTAATCCCTTTTGGTGGAGTAATTATAGTTGAGAACGAACTCTGTTTGCTTCAGATAGACTTCTAATCACCATCCTTTCGCTATCGTTCTCTGGGGAGGAAGCCAGGACGGGGACACTCCTCATGTTTTGCAGACTTTTGAGGGACATTGAGGGAATGTTTCTGATGCGCGCGGTCTCAGAGGTTAAGTTTGTTAAGCAGTGACTTTGTGCGTCCTTGGTGTCCGTTTCACGTGTGTGCGGCGTGGCTGACTCCTGCCCGGCTCCGCTCAAACGGCTCATGGGTGTGTATACTCATCCCCTGGGCCGGTCACGCGATACATGTTTCTTCAGTGCAGGCCTGTCGTGGGTGACAAGGCAGAAGGCAGGGCCTCTCGCACCCCATGTCGTGGAGGGCGGGAGGCGGGCGGCGACAGCAAACGGTAAACCTCGGGGAGGTGGACAGCGGTTGGAGCATGTAGGGGAGAGGAAGCAGGGGGAGGCTGTGGTGCAGAGGGGCGGGCACGCGCAGGCAGGCTGAGCAGGGGACATCTGAGGCCAGTGCCGTGAGGTGCCCAGGGAAGTCTGGGGTGAGCGTGAGGCCCCGGTGTGGAGCGAGCTTCGCCTGCTCGGGGATGAGTGAGGCGGTGCGGCCGAGGGGAGGGAGCCCGGGCTGCCGGCCACTCCTCCTGAGTGCCAGGCGGACGCCACGGAGGGCTTCGGCGGGGGTGGGACAAGATCCGTGTCTGTGGCTGCCACGTGGGGGACCCGGGTCCCTACAGGATTCCATTACCAGCAGGGCGGAGGCGGGAGGGAAATGAGGAAGTAGGACAAAGTGTATTTCTAGAGCCAGGAGGCCTTGCCGCAGGCTTGGTTGAGAAACGTGTGGCAGGTTAGGAGGTGCAGTTTACCGAGGTGCAGGTGACAGGTGTGTGGGGCCCGGGAGGAGGGGGTGGTGATCGGGGGAATCCGGGCCCGCAGACAGGGGCATCTTCAAACCGCCCCTCTCCCTCTGGGTGGGAGAGACCCTGGCTGGGACGGGGGGGAGGGGAGGGGTCTGCCTGCTCACAGCACAGGAGACAGCAGGCCAGGGATCCCCCCAGACAGGCGGGTGTCGGGGGAGTGGCCTCACTGTGTGCAAGAGGGAGGTTTGCGGCAGGAGGAACGTGGCCTCCTTGTGTGGTCGGGGTGGCGGGCTCTTGGGTGGGACGGTGGCCGTGGGAGACGCTGCTCTGCAGAGCTGTCCGTCCCCGGTCACTCATCTGTGGAACGAGGCTCCTGCACCCACACTTAGAGAACTGAAGCCTAGGAATGGATCTGAACACAGGTCCGTGGCGGGCGACCCTACTGGGGAAAAGGCCCATGTGCCTCGTCAAACATGGCTTCTTTCTTAGATGACTGTTCATCAGACGCGTGCCATCCCCTTGTGGGGGCCGGGGGGGTTCCAGTCAGTGCGGCGCTGGCCCGGCCCGGAAGGCGCGATCACAGCCTGTGGTCCGAGCGGATCAGGCCCGGTGTGGGCTGCGTGCACACTGCCCCGCGCATGCCTGCACGTGGCCCGTGGAGTCCCGCCCAGCTCAGGTCCGTAACCGAGGCTGTGGCTCGCACGCCCGCAGCGAGGGGAGCGGCGGCCACAGATGCAGAAGTGCCGCGAACTTCCTGACGGTTGAGGGGACTTGTTCGTGCGTGTGGTAAACAGATGGCTGTGCAGATCACACTGCCGTGTGTAGATTCCAGCGGACGTGCTTAGAGCAAGGACCTGACAGTTTTATTTTAAGAAGCCAGTGTTTATGATATGCTGGAAATTGCGCCCCTTGCAGCTGTTAAAACTAGGGACGAGCGGTGTGAGCTGTGAGCTTAAGTGCAGGGCTGTCAGCAAGGAAGTCAGTGGGGTCGGCGCCGCGGACCAGACTGGGGACACGGGCACGGGAGGTGACGCGGGGGCAGGTGCTGGGTCAGCGGGAGAGGGGACCAAGGGGCAGCCCAGGTTACCCCACGGAGGCGGCTTTGGGCAGGGGACAGGAAGGCAAAGGGGCTTAGGAAGGCGCCCCCGGGGACGCGGGGAAGACCGGGAGTGTCCACGGGAAGGGACAGCCTGAGGGCTGCCACCCGGCGCCTCTGCTGATGGAGGGCTGGGCTCAGCAGGCTGGAGAGCGAGGCCAGGGCTGCCGGAGGGCTTCGGTGGAGCCCTGGGAGTGAATCCTCCATTCAAGGGAGAAAGGTAGGCGAGGAAGCCGACAGACTTCTTCCTGGGAGTCTTGCAATAGGAAGAAAGAGGGGGGCACCCGGGGGGCTCAGTCGGTCAGGCGTCCGACTTCAGCTCAGGTCATGATCTCACGGTTCGTGGGTTTGAGCCCCGCATCGGGCTCTGTGCTGACAGCTCAGAGCCTGGAGCTGCTTCGGATTCTGTGTCTCCCTCTCTCTGCCCCTCCCCTACTCTCACTCTGTCTTTCTCTGTCCCTCAAAAATGAATAAACGTTAAATTTTTTTTTTTTTATAAAACAAAAGGAGGAGAAATGGGGCTTTAGAGGTCATGGGGAGGTGACATGAAGGAAAACAGTTTTGTTCTAGAGTGAGCTCAGTTTGAGGCTGCAGGGCTGTAACCTGCTGCGGAGAGAGGTGCGCGGTGAGGAAGGTGCCGGTGGCCTGGAAAAGGGGGTGTGGCGGGCCTGCATGGGGCGGGACAGCTGTGGCCAGGACAGAGCTGGGGAGGAGGGGCCCTTAGGAGGGGGCCTTAAAGATCACGTAGGAGTTTGACAGATGGAGGGAGAGGGTTTTCGGAACGAGGAACCAGAAGGGGTCACGGAGGCTGGAAGCTGTCCAAGGAGGAGCCCTGGGAGGCCAAGGCGGACGCAGCTCGGGGCCCTGGCGGGAGCCCTGGGGCCTCTCTCCCTCATCAAGCCCGAAGAAATCCAGCTGTGGAGCCTCCGCCGAGCCTTCCTGCGCCCACAGGGTCAGATTGCCACGAACTTGCATAGGGTCGAGACTTGGTTCTCTCTGAGATGATGCCTTTCTCTGCCCAACCTGTGCCTCGTCTTCCTGGCTTCGTCTGGCTTGTTCCCGACGCTCCACGCGACCTGAGCCCCGGCTCTGGCTGCGAGCGCTGACGTAGTGCGTGTACCGTCAGGGCACCTGCCCTCGATGCAGCCCGGGCAAACCCCCTGTGGGTCGGGGGCCCCTACATCGTGACTCATGCGGGGAGAGGGCTCGGGGCCGTGTGGCGGGAGCGTCCCTTCCTCCTCGCCTGTGCCTGCAGGACCCGCCTGTCACGGAGGAGCGGTCCCGCTGTTCTGTGACTCACGGCCTCTGGCTTTAAGTGAATTTAAAAATGTATGTGCTCATTAGTTCTAGTAGGTTTGCCTTTGCTTGTGGCGAAAAACAGGTGTAACATTAGTACGGAGGTTGTCAGAATCCTTGCTCTCACCAGGCCGCCCCATCGGACGATTCTGTGTTCTCAGTGTCCGCACGGCCCCTGGGCCCTCTCCCCGG